ATTTTTCATGAAGGGGAGGAAAGCTTAGACAAGGCAGCCATTTTGTTCAACTGTCTAACATATTTTAAGTTTTTGAAGTTGTTTTGCACTTTTTGGAGTTTTGATGCAGTGTCCTAGTCAAAGGAATTCTCTGGTCAGTATTTTATGTTTTATTTGTGTGAAGTGTGATTATTTCTATCTTCATAAAGTCTTTTTTTAATATGTTCTTAAATTGAACTTATATAATTAAATTTTTAACAGAAATTACAATTGATTGTGTATGAGATAATTTTCATATTTCAAATTAACGTTTGGGATCATGAAATAGTCATATATTTAATAATGGATATTAGGTTCACCTTCTGTTCAAAATATATTTACTTCTTTAAATCAATTATGTATGAAGTCAAGTTTAAATGCTTTTTAACGACAGATACAATTGCAATTATTCTTATTAAGTGATGAAACAAAGGAAGAAACATGCAATATTTAGCAATCAACCATATGTAGCCATAAAGTTAGTTACGTAACAATACATCTGAAAAATCATAATCTACATATGTTGTGTTTGCCACGTACTTAACACAATGTAGGTAACATGTTATCATATTTTATCATTTATTCATTGACTCTTCTACATCCGAAGCCAATGTAGGCTGATTCCCGATATGTTACATTATCTATACTTTTACGCCATACTTTTATTATCAGTTCACTGGGATGGTTTTACTGATAAGATACGAAGAAACAAACAACAAAAATTAACTTAAATAATTTTGATGAACATTTTGATATCCAAAATTTTGATCAGTTTCTTGACCCTTCTAGTTGTAAATTGATTGAATTTTTTGTGACATAACCCATTGAAGTTTTCACACTGTCTGGGTTTCCATCACCCTTAAACTGGTCCACCTATTGTGAAAAAATACCACCCTATTCAAAACATTTTTACATTTATTAATTTCGCTCCAAGAAAGGACAGCTGACAAAGGTACATTCGATTATAAAAATTATATAATACATTATTATAGATGAAATTCTCAACAAAGACAGTTTTCAAATTCAAATTAATCATAAAGAAGGCCATTAAGGTTTTGAAAGGCGATTTTCCTCGTTCTATTATAGTTATTATGTCCATGAAAAGATATATTATTCTATAGGTCGGTGCAAAGCATTGTGGTAAAAAGCGTCAGAGTTTGAGGGTCATTTGACCTGCTGACCTCTACGTGCATAATACGCAAGCATCTAGTCTGATAAATTTTTATGATGTGTAGGCTTTCACATAGAGCAGATGGAACTGAGACATAACTCATAATCTTTTTAATATATATGGATCATTTGCAACATTTGGATTAAACATAGTTGAACATGTACGAGGAAAGAGTAGGAATTGGTTCAAGGTATGTGAACATTGTAAACAATACTTTTAAATATTGTTCATGCAATAGAAACTTTGTTGGGTTCTATGTTAGGCAACTCTAAGGACTCATAGGGTTTATTCACTGATGAAAGGTATTTATAAATGAAAATTGATTAGAAAACATATTAAGTGATACAAAAATGAGTTGTTAGATTGTTGTCATTTGTTTTATTTACTCAAATAATTTATAATAACCATGACAATTTCTAAGTAGTCTACTAAATATTTGTCATTCTCTTGCTTTGAACATTTAGCATTGGCTCGATCTCAGATTCTAGTTAAGGATTAGATTATAAAATATTGTCTCTTATGTCTCATTTCCTTCTTGTTATTTTTCTTCATTAGCCAAATCGGTGATTCACACCTGTATGACTGAATGAGAAAATAATGCAAAAAAAGAATTCTGTTGTGAATGAATGAAGCAAGCAGAAGCAACTCATATAAGGAGTTTGCACACTAGTGACATCTATAAATGGTGATCAATGTTATATGCAGCTGTTAAACATTAACTGTTTGAACAATATTATATATGAGCAATGAACATCATTCACTCTGTTCAGATTATGTTGTACTTGCAGTTGAAATATGAATCTTTAATATTTAATAACCTAGAAGAATTATTGGAATAAAAAAGTATCTCTAAGAATGCGATAATGTAATGATTAAGCCTTATAGTTCTCCAGTTCCTTCCTTATTAATTTGCTACTTTTATCATCAGTATTTAATAAGTGAAAAATAGGTAGCTACCCCCTATTGTAAATACAAAGATATGGCGTCATCATTACAATATAAGGTCTAGAATTTCTGAAACCAAACCTTATTTTTATGAAAAAATATCTGAAGATAGTGGTGTAAATAATGAAAGTAGATTTTGCTGTGGCTTATGGTGCATCATGGTTCAGGTGTGTTATAGCATAGATCACCTGTTTTGCCAATAAAGCTTATATTTGAGTGATGAGGCAGGTGAGACAGTTTACCTGTAGTGAAGAGACAATCAATTAACTGGACACCTCGTTATCATCAAATTATAATTGGTTAGTGGCTTCTTTTTTCTCAGCATATTCAATTAAACACATATATTTTACTGTTAACACATTTTATTATGAAATCTCAGAGGCTCTAGGTTTTCATGTTTAGTTTACTTAAGTCAATAAAGAAATGTGTCCGGATGTGAGACTTGTCAATGCAGAATACCAAATGTCAATAAATTATTTTTGATATTATTTTTACGATAATCATGAGAAAAAGAATGTTGATATTCATTCAATTAAATGTAATAATAATTGAAATAATGTAACCGAACACTAAACTAACACAGTAAAATAGATACAGTCTTACACTAATTGCCCTTTTGAGTAAAACATTATTTTTGCACGGTTATTTTACAAAACATATTCTTTTAATTTGAATGACATTGCATTTTGAGTGAAAATAACTTTCAATTGTTGAAAGTTATTTCATCTTTAATGGTTAAAAATATTACGTGCAATAATATTTAGAAGTTTTAAATACAGCCATTATTGCAGACTTCAATTTTCTAAGTCACGTATTTGGTTTAAAAATTTTGAAAAATTAATAAATGCTATCTTAATAGAAGTACCAGCAAGATAAAAATATTTCAATAAGTTTTGATATTTATATTATTGCTTAGTGAGTGACATGTGTGGATGAAAACATACTTATCAGATTTTAATATTTTTCATAAGTTAAAATTTCCTGAATATATACTAACAAATCGAATGTCAAAGATGCCCCGATACTGAGAATATTACTTTCTAGTGCTTCTTTTAGGACTTACAATTGGAAATGTATTACAATGTTCTGTTTATCTCCCATTCAGTATGATATGACCATATCCATAGTACCATATCCACTGTCCCTTGGTAAGAGTTACTTTGCATGCCTCTACAGTTAAAGTCAATAAAACACGAATCACTAATAGTATACCGTAACCTCAAATGATTTGATATAAACTGAGATGATATTAACGCAAACTATCTTCATTATTTAAGAAAATCAACTCTATATGCTATAAATGGCTACTTTCTACTCTCTCATTCACCCTGCAGGTTTTGGTTTGAATTTTATGTTGCAATGAAAAACAAGTCATATATGTGACATGAAATAGAAGCCATAAAATATGATTACGTTAGGTAAAAACTACATTAAGATTTACGAGGATTTATGCTTCAATTTGTGTTTTATTTCTCCGCAGATCTCCAGAGAGAAGTTTTTAGTGAAGTTTTATGAGATTGCACTTACTGACTCACATACTTTGATTCTCTAATATTCTTTTTTATGAAAAAATCAATGCCTCGCAATTAAACGAAAAAATAACAAGGCGAGAAACGAGTTTTATTTTACGTTGATATCTATTTGAAGTTCTTCGAAGGCAAATCAATTAGTTTTAGGTGCAAACATGTATTTTTATGGTAAAGTACTCAATATATGCAGAGGTCATTCAAGTGCATCTATTTCCTTATTATACAAGAGATGCAAATTCATTGAAGAATATAATAGAGCTGTTTTATCTGTCACAAACCTTTTTAGGAGACCCTGCCTTTTCTTAAGTACCCTATTTCAATGTACGATTGTTATTCTGTAATAATTGAGATAACTTTTATTGAGATAAATTTTTTATCATTATTTATTTTTATTTTATTTATCCAGTTTTTGAAAGTATATATGATTAATTGAATAATTATATTCCTTAGCTCAACAAAACAATTCATCTTATTCCACGTTTTCTTGATTCTGTTCTTCATCTTTGTTAATAACTTCTTCCTTTTGCTTTTTTTGTAAGTTGTAACTATGGAGCACTAAGTCACATCTTGGGAACCAGTTGATAGCTCTGAACATGAGTTTTTTAATGCCGCATTACCATGGTTTTAAAAAGACTATAAAGGTTACAAAGTACAGCGGTATAAATAAATATTGGAGAGAATAACATTTATTTTAATGAAGCCTTTGCTAATAAAGGTCAACGTACACTGTGGTTATTGTCAATCAACGATGATCATAATTGAGAGAATTGTTCACTGTATGTTGTATTGTTTTTATAACTGTGTCAACAAATATTGAACATGTTATAATTAAAATGTTTTTTATATCGATAACACTTGACCCACAGTTAGACATGCTCTTTGACAGATACAACCCTTTTTCTGAATTATTTCTTATTTGACATGTTTTATTTCAAGGGCACTATTTGAGATAGTAGAAATCAGAATGTATATATTTTGGGGATTGGGTTGGTTTACAACATGTACACGTATATGTGGTACATCTGTGTTTGCATGATACTCAATATGGATTGTTTTTTATTAATTAAATTTTGATGAAAAAATGTGATGCATCTCTTAATACAGAATTTCTATTTTAATCAAATCTATTTAAACACAGATTGCTAGCTGACAATATCAGTGAGATCAAAAACATTGTGAAATGACAGTTTGTTTTTTATCTGTGGTTCGACTTGAACAATACAGAAAAAATAATTACAAATACAGACTAACATCTTTGCATTGTATTGAGATTACACAGAGTAATAATGCCACAAATAGTATCTGTGTATGGCCAGCCAATAACTCCTTCAATATAAGTGACCAGCATTTGTGAATCCCTTACATCTGATTGGCTGCTGAAAGTGTTGTTTTGATTGACGAGGATATTCTTGGAGAATGTGTAGTGATCAGTGAAAGTAAGACCCGTGCTAACTCAGGAAGGTGCTACAAATGTGCATAGATATATTATTAGAATCAATCAATCAAGGAACTCCACAAATTTATTCATATTCAAAAATGATATCATTAACAGTAATTCTGCGACACAAAAAATGACATGATTCTGAATTGGAGAAATTTATGCACACATTAGTTGATTAAGATACACATTTGGTAACAGTTGGCATATTGGAGACTTATTCTGGATTTGAGAGTTGTAGTTTTCTATAATGTCATTCCATGGACTTAGCTATGATATTAGTGATATACGCCTAAACATGGGCTCATCATTTGGGTACGCAAAGTAAGTCATTCAATATTATAAATGAATAATTATTGATATTAATAATACCGAATAATAATAATGAAATTATTGTTGTTCTTATTTCAAACTATTTCCTGGCTTATTTTGGATTTTTGATGCTCTTGTATGAATGTGTTTTTTGGTTTATAAACAGAATATGGACAGCATATAGATGTTACATCAATTTTTAAGAATTATATTGTGTTTAATGATCACAGATAAAAACACAGCTGGTAAATTGTACAAAAACAATTTTTATTATTATTATATGATGGAGAAACTTTCCTGGCATGATAATTTCATATATTTTACAAACTGCACCAATTGACCTCAACTAAGTTTCTTCTGTAAATTCTTAAACATCTCATAAAGAAAAACTAGTGATTGCTGACTGATTGATTTATTAGGCTCCAGGAGTGATCATAATGACAGGTCCCCTGTTCTCCTATATAGGCAGGGGTTAATAGGTTACAACCCTGCAAGTAGTAACTATGAACCTAAAATATTAGAGCTTCCTTTCTACCTATAGCCTCCACAAAATTGTAATTGATTTTTCATGTTTTTTATCATGCTGTAAAATAAACCCCATAATTATAAGGCTAATGATACTAACTTTGACATAAAATTTGTACCTGATAACTCTCATGTTATTTTCACAGCTTGCTTTTCTGGTATTACCCTATGGTATTCTATTTACAGCAAGATCATGGCCCAAAATTACACTTTGCTTTTAGTAGACCTGAAGACGTGAATACCTAATGACATTTTCTTGGAAAATTTTATTGAATCAAATTGATCTTGCTTGATGTTAATAATATTAACTTTTGTTTGTGAAATCATTTGTTCGCCAAAATTATTCTTGCTCAACACAGTTAAGAATGTTTGACTTGAATTTATGAATTAAAGATTTCCATAAAAAAATATTTTAATTTTTGCTTTTTGACATCAAATAATAGCCTAATATTCTGAGCCATCATTATTTATGATTGTTAAACATACAAGCAATCAGTGTATCTAAATATTTTTTTCATCAAATACGTCAAGTGAAATATTGCTACCATTGGGATGTTGCGTGGTTATTCTTAAAATAAAATTGACAAAATTGTTTTGTGTTGTAAAATCGTTATGATGCATCAGTGCTACTGTAAATCATTCATTATTAGAATGCAAATATTTTGTCATTGTTGCTCCATGCTTTAATATTACGGTTTTGTTATTTTGACATTCTTCCTGTGCGATTAAAAATACTCGTTTGAACACTTTGGTTACAGTATCAGAGAAAAGTAGGGTATATGAATCATATTATTATAAAAACAGTCAACTGTTATCATCATTAGCTAGAGACAATAACTTAAAAATACTTTTACTATAACCTTTAAACTTTACTTGGTAGGAGGTGGTATCTCTTTAATTCTTTAAAATGATGAGTATTACACAGAAACATTTGAATTGCCAACTTAATTTGCAAAATTATATCTGATAAATTCTGTAAGGCACTCTGGAAAACAGTTGGGAATGTCGGGGTGAGAAGAATAGGTTGATAAAATTAAATATGTTTTCTTTACATGTATATTCATTTGTAAAAACACTATTGTCTCTATTTTATATTCTGTTTAATTACATTTTGTGAAGAATTGTAAAATACTAACAGCTAAATAAATAATATAGAGGACTAGAATTTATATGAATAAATCATTCATAAGCCTTCGATGATTTTATAAAAAGAACTTTAAAACTAATCATATTCAATTTGCAACACAATAAAAAGTGAACTAATTGAATTCAGAGAGTTTCATTGAAGGCTGAAAACAACATCATCGTAGAGTAACAATGCATTATAAGGCAGCATTTGTGTTTATTAAGAACATTAATTAAATATGTTATTTTGTTTGTGTTTTTCTAGAAGTGATGCTGCTTGTCAGAATCAGGTATTTGTAATACGAGAAATCGGAATGTCTTCAGAGGGCGCCACTACCACGGAGGTGAACCAGGGTTACCCTGGCAACGACTTCATGCACAGCAGCTCTAGCCATTCAGAGCACCCACATCCACAAGTGTCAGACCCACCCAGCTCTAATGAATCAATGAGTCCACCTGAGCTTCGTGCCGCAGATGATATCACAAGTCCCGTCATGGAGAACGGAGACTACCAGAGTCCTAACCCTAGTGCAGTGTACCGAGCAGAGGCCCGTGTGTTTCCTAATGAGAGAGCAAGCCAGGTCTACAATGAGATTGAGCAGAAGCTACGCGCTGATGGGGTATCTACTGATCATGTAGTAGACAATATAGAGGGTTCAGAAAGACAGAGTGAATCAACAGAGCACGATCAGAGTGCAGAGAACATTTCATATCAAAAACATGATCAAAGCAGTGAAGAAATTCCATACATGAAACACGCTCAGAGTCCAAATGACAATGCTTATCCAAAACATGACCAGAGCATTGATAATGTTTCATATACGAAAAGTGATGTTCCTTCAAATTTCTCAGCTGAGCGTGAAGCCGAGAGCCCCGACTTGACAAGCCCTTTGGTGATGGCTGATCAAGACCGTGGAGGAAGCCCCGGGATGAGCTATTCCAGTGATACCCCCCATAATCACAGCATGTATGATGAAGATATGATGAGCGAGGACAGCTACACTCCCCCATCTTCTGTGGGTAGCGCCATGCAGATGAACCCAAGCCCTGGATCAATGTTGTCACCCAGAGGACCCGTTGGTAGTCCATGGAACCCAGAGGGCCAATACCCAGGGGTAGTTCCACCAGGATTCCAGCACATGGTACCAGACGCAACTGGCAAAGAAATTTACTACTGCCATCTATGTAGCTACTCAGGTACTAAATCCCTTTCTTTGTATTTATCGGTATGAACTTTTTTATCTTTCTGCATTTTAGTTAGCACCTTGAAGATTTCATTTAAGCTCTTTAGGTCCCATTTTTAGTTTGCTTGAATTAGAATATTTCTTCTTTGATAGTTATAGAGTAAATTCAAGAATATAGAACAGTCTTATAGTTTCAAGATTGTTTCTTTAGATGATTAGTTGATTGAATGATTGCTTGATTTTTCATTGTTTTCTGCATGATGACTTCACTATTGTAGGCCACTCTTCCAACGAATTGACAAGTCACATTGCTAAGCATGATAAGGATGAGATCAAACATGGTAATTCACCCGCCTCTGCAAATAACAGAATGACCCATCCCTGGCTAATAACATTTATGTACTTGCATGCTAACAGTACATTATACCTATGTGTTATACCCCCTAAAATGACTAATTGAATTTCAGGTCCCCATACTAATAATAAAAATGTATTTGGATGTCACGGGTAAACAATAATATGATGACCTTGCTAATACCTGAATAAGGGACCTGTCAACATTGGCTAACAACTGATCGAGGGATCAGTCAACATCTCCATGGAAAGATTAGTTTTCATAATTGACATTATTATAATGATTACTTACTAACTTTTTAATTTTTCAGATTCATTGGAACATAGTCTTCACATTATGGTTCATTGTTTCATATTTATTATATTTTGTACCCATAACAGCCCATCAGCATTAAAAGCTATTACAACTTTGACCTACATCTTTAAAATCATAAAATAACATTAAGTAACAATTATTTTATTGTGACATGGAACTAATTGATAGAAGTGAGTTAGATACTGATCTGGTTATGGAAATAAAATATATTTAATCATAGAACAGATTTAAAAAGTATAAAGACATTCTTATAGTATTAAGTACACAAGAAGACAATATATGATAATATGTGGCGTTCAATTCATTATTTATCAGGGCATGCAGAAATCGCATCTCTTAGTTAAGGCTGAAAGTCTGCAGTTGTACATACCATCATATAAACAAAGGGAAACATTTAATTCATGTTCATTTTATGTATTTACAGGGAACTCTAAATTCCACTTCAACTCTCACATGAACTCCCACTTTGAACATAGATGTCCCCACTGTGACTACACATCTCGCACTGAAGGTCGTTTGAAGCGCCACATCAAAGATTTCCACAGTGATGACCCACCAGATAGCTTTTCTGGACAGCCACGTCACATCGTGCGTACTCCTGGACGACCCAAGGTGTTCCGTTGCAAGCAATGTGAATTTACATCTGTAGATAAGGTATGACTAAACATAAATAATGGCCTTGTGTTTTTTTTCTATTTCGTCACTATATAATTACTGTGTACTTTACCTTATTATCCCCCACAGTAATTTCTTTTGTTTACTAGTTTTTCTTTGCATTATTTATATGAATCATATCAATAGTTATGAAGTATTAAAAACCAGTGTCTTATGAAATATATCTTTTGTGATGCAAACCAAAGCAATTAAATAATAAAATTGTAATTTTGTGTGATTGTAGATTGAGTTTTGGGAGCATTCACGTAAACACATCAAGGCAGACAAGGTCCTCCAATGCCCCAAGTGTCCATTTGTCACCGAGTACAAACATCATCTAGAGTACCATCTACGTAATCATTTTGGATCTAAGCCGTTCAAGTGTCCAAAATGCAACTACTCATGCGTGAACAAGTCCATGTTGAACTCCCATCTTAAATCGCATAGTAACGTATACCAATATAGATGCGCTGATTGTACCTATGCTACCAAATACTGCCACAGCCTGAAGTTGCATCTCCGCAAATATAACCACAAGCCAGCCACAGTCCTGACCACCGATGGCAGTCTACCCATGGATGGATCCGGTGATTTCAATCTTGTTGCTAAGCGTGGTCCCCCTAGAGGACCCAGGGGGATGAAGTCGGGCCAGGAGAGCAAGACGCCACCCCAAATGCCGATACCACCTGCAGGGTTAATGAACATGCCACAGATGTCAAAGGTTGTCCCACCTCACATGAACGCAAGGGTTGGTGGTATGATGCCTCCATTTTGGAACTTGATGCATATGAATGGGATGGCCCCTCCTCCCCTGATCCCCATGCCTGGTATGATGCATCCATCCAATGAGAAGATGTTCGCAAAGTTGGCCGCCTCGTTACCTCTCAAATGCACCGTATGTGAGTTTGTTGGTGAATCCCGTGAATCCCTCACTGAGCACATGCTGAAGGTACATGCAGCCGGTGAGAATTCAGATCTCCTGCGTATGTTTAATGTCTCCTCTGATTCGCTGATGGAAGAAGCCAAGAAGGCTGCAGAGATGGCAATCAAGACTGAACCCAAAGATGATGGTCCCACCCCCATGAAACAAAGCCCTGAGTCTATGCACCATCAGGCATCTCCTCGTGATGGCAGCTCTGCTCCCCATCTGTCTCCCCATGCTATGTACAGGTCCCCACCAATGGAGGCAATGCGCCACCATCTTCCAAGTGGAATCACGGGTCTCAACAGTGAACTTGAAAGCCTGGCCAGAATGACCATGCAGCTCACAAAGGCAGAACCTAGAGCCCGACTTCCCATCCCTCAGCTACCTCCCCACATGATGCAGCAGCAACGTAGCCCTGCCGCCCCCATCCAAACCCCTCGTCCTCAGACCAACAGTGAGGCACCACTAGACCTGACAGCCAAGCCCAGAGATGATGAACAGCCTTCCCCACGCCAGCCACATGATGATCAACCATCACCTAGATACCCACATGACATGAGGCACCAGCAGGAGACATACAGTTCAGGTGATACATCTTTTGCTGCACATATGCTTGGCTTAGAGGGTTTGAAACGGGCTAGAGTAGAGGAGAAAGGTGGCATGAGTGAAGGGGGTGCTGGTTTTAATTCTGCTTCTTCTTCGGGGCTTGCTTCGCCTCCAGCTCGCAAACGCTCCCGCAAGGGAAAGGCTTACAAGCTTGACACGCTCTGCTTACGTCTTCAAGAGCGTGGTACTAACTCTCCCGAGGCTTCAGGTGATGAAGAGCCCCAGGATGCTGCTTCTGCTTCAGCTAGTCATAGTTCTACTAGTCAGACTAACACCACCATTCACGCATCTAATCAGCCCTCTGCCATTTCAGGTTCAGAGGCAGAGTCTGACTCCAAGCCAGCCAACACCAGCTCTGATGAGCCTATTGATTATAACGAGATTCACAACAGTCTCAGTCAATTGAACAATGAGTCCCCAGAGGTTGGTGAGAAATTCAACCTTGCCCCTCGTGCGGCTACCAGTATTCGCAACCCCCTCTCCATCAAGAATGCCCCCAAAGAGCCCAGCGCTGAGGAAAGTGCCGCTGAGGCTGCTGCAACTGAGGTCAAGCAGCACTATGATCATCGCAAATCTATGATCATGCGCCACAAGGAGACAGAGGCTCCCATGAATGGACATCCCCACTACCCTCACACCCACCCCCATCTGCCACCACAACATCTCCAGAGGGAGCCACCAAGCATGGGTGACGTGAATCAGAACCTGCATATGCTGTTAGCATCCAGTAAATTCCCCAATGGATTCCACCCAGCCAAGAATGGTGGTCGTTACGAGTGCTCCTTCTGTCACCTTGCATTCTTGGACTGTGTCATGTACACCATGCATATGGGTTACCATAGCAACAGGGACCCATTCCGATGTAACATGTGTGGGGTTCACACCAAGGACAAAGTAGAATTCTTCTTACATATAGCAAGAGCTGCCCATGCGTAACTTTGTTCACCTTGCACAATGTAGACTGGACTAAGTCAAATCAAATGACTGATATGATGGGACATTCAACTGTTATTTATATGAAGGAGCTGCCAAAAGAATTAATATTATAAACATTCATCTTAACTGACACTTAGGTGCTTGATGGTGTCAAGATGCTCGATGGTACAGATTGCTTGTTAGGCTACAGTGAATTAAAAAGCAGTGTTTCTATGCCAGAAAATATGTATATATTCTTTATAATAGAAGAACATGTAAATATAACGTAGGCTCTCTCCCTTTAAAGCATAGATCTTTGCCTTTTCTAACTGGGTCAAAGTGAGTACAGTAAAATATACAAGTACATGTTTTAATTCAGCTCTCAAAATGCAGTCTGAAAAGGTGAGAGATCCACTCAGTTATTTAATCAAGTGGCCTATTGCATCCTGTAGTCTGCCCCTTTGCTTCATGTTTGCCATAAGTTATAGAAATTAGTCATCCAAGCTGTAATTTTCATTCCATGGGTCCGTAAATGACGCATGTTTACGAGTATGAAAATATCACGAAACATTGTTTATTTAGATAGCCATGTTATTGCTGCCACCGTATGATATGTAATTACCATAGTGCATAGTGTAGTGTAGACATACAATTGTATTTATAGTGTATTTCACTCATGTTTTAGTGTTCTTATGTATATCTATGAACAGGTAACATATGTATAATTTAATCCATAATTGAACAGATAAGTTTAGACATATTGTTGGGCATAGTGAATTTGATGTATGCTTTCGCTTTATGATTCACAATTTTGATCGAAATGAAGTTAACTGGTTTAAGCATTACCCGGTGGATGTTATAGCATTTAATATGCTAATTGATGTATTTCTACATTGTAAATAGTAGAATTAGTTCGCTTGTTAGGTGTTCTTTAGTAAATGATAAAAAGTAAAATTGCAGAGTCATAAATGTAGTTGTACAATGATGAGCAAGACAGAAGCGATGCTTACCTTAATGTTGCTTATTTCGTAGCTTTGTAAGCGCTTTTAGTATCTGTTAAACATTGAGCATCTATTTAGCTCCAGTCAAAATTGTTCGGGAAAATGCAGGAATGATATGGAAAGATTACATGCTCAATTTGAAAATTCAGAAGGGAATTGTTGAGTGGTTTAACATTTTGAGATTGCTGAATATGTACGTTGTGAAGACAATGCAATACCACATAGCATTACAAATCAATCATGCATTATATTTTTATTGACAAATCTATTGTACTTTTGTACATAAAAGTAAATATTATTGAGACAGATATTATGTCTTGTGAAAATTGTATCACATTTGCACCAATGTCACGCATTTTGTGCAATACAAATTGAAGATCTCAGTGTAATAGAATAAGACCCAATTGAGCTTATTAAGATTCTCTATCACTTTACTGTCTCATTTAATTGTTAGTGAAAACATTTTACAAATTAGCATTTATGGATTTTAATTCCCGATTCCTTTTTCACACATTTAATAAGTAATCAGCATTAATTTATTTTTCTACCTCAAATTCAACCTCAAATCCATCTTGTACACATTTCTAGTTTTGATTTTTCATAAATTTTCTTGAGGTCTTCGCACATTTACTGAAATTACCAAAGTATTTTCTATTTAAATGATACATTTATTGTACATGTTCGGATCATGTATTTATGACAAACCAACAACAGTGAAAACTGACATAATATGCGCTTTCAAATAGAATATTTTCATGTCTTAATTTATTATAGTCCCAAGTATGTAGTCATATTAAGCTCATGTTATGTCAGGGATCACTAGGTTTAAAATATTCTACCTCACAACAGTATTGACGATTTGCATCTTTACACATTCAGCATTATTTTGTAATATAGTACTTCCTTATATGGAATAATTACCATATTAGGAAAAAAGATGACATCCATATAAGGTATGAAGATTGAATGTAGGTTTAGGTAAAAATCATATGTAAATAGTATCTGGGAATTCTGTACAGTTTGACGTTTAGATTACAGGGATTGAACCGGTGCCGTAAAATGAACAAACCAACATTAGGTTTATTGTAAATTGTCTTAATTGAACTCATGTATTTTTGAGTGATTCTTATGAAATCTACATAAAATAGTTGCATTTACAGTACAAGCTACAATTCCAAGCAACTATTTCCTGTATATTTTATACAGAACTGTATATTGTACCATATTTATTATATAGCTATAGTTTTCTCAAACTTTCATAATCATTACAGTATATTGACTTGTAGAGAATCCATCTTAACATGCAACTGAAGCAATATTGATAAAGAAATGACATTTTAGCTTATAAGTATTGTAATTTGATGGCGATCACCTAAAACCATATACTCATTAATTTATTGTTATCTTCTACTTTTGAAGTTTGAATAACTAGTATATTCTGATCAGTGTAGAAAGTGTATGTTAAATGGAAGTAAATCCAATAAATAGTCATGTATAAATTATATCATTTGTTTTTATTGTTGTTTGTTTTCCATAGTCATGAATTGTATATTGTAATAGACAGTATAGTCCAGTTACACCCCCTCAATAAGTTCAAATACCATACTCGTGTATAAAGGATAGTCCAGTTACACTCCCCTCCATAAGTTTGGTAACCCTGATTCCTTTTAAGGACTATTTATGTTTGAAGATTAATTCAAAAAAGCAGAAAACACCAACAGGCTTAATTAAAGGTACACTCCTTCCAACTCCATTGCTTTATTTATATGGTTGTTGAAACCTATTATCACGGGATGTCATCGCCTGATTTGGTCAATGTTAGGGAGCAGGTCGTTTTTACAATAAATTTCAATATTTTCACACAAAATATTTTTTTACTGAAAAACTGCTCATTCGCAGAGAAAATGTACTAGCACATGCAATGACAATGTCAATCACGCTTCTGTACGAAATTCGGCGGAAGTCTTTTATAATCTAATACGAAGTTACTAAAAAAGGCGCGAACGCCCTACACTCAAAATGATCGTTTTTCCATTATAACTTTTTAACGTAATTTAACGAAGGCTTCTAATTATTATCCAAGATAGTCTAAATACCGATTAAAATATTTCTTACTTCAAACAGATACGCCGTCTTTTATTCAATTTTTTAAAAAATAATAAAAAATAACTCTTGTCAATGTTAGGGAGCAGTCAATGTTAGGGAGCAAAATGATTTTATCAGAATATTAAAAATGTAGCAAATGGCCATTTAAAATATGTATGGCATTTATAAACTAAACAATATTGTTTGAATGATTATTTTAAACCCCTTGCCTTAACAAAATTTAACAAAATCGATAAAAAAATTGTTTTGCATTTTTGTTATCTTCAGAAAATGGACTCTCAAAGATTTTTGACGAAGGAAAGTTAATTATTATCATGGATAATCTCAGTACATATTGAAATATTTCTTACTTCAAACAGGTACACCTTTCTTTAATTTTTTTTAAATAATAAAAAATAAGTATGATCAATGTGGCGGAGCAAACAATGCAGTGGGGCGAAATGGTTTTATCAGAATATCAGAGTAATTGGCCTTTACAAACATGTATGTCATTTATAAACTAGACAAGATTGTATGATTGTTTTATACCCCTTGGTATAAACCTTACAAGCATACAGTATTGCTCAGCACAATATACACAATTTAACCAGATACAATAATTACATGACATCTCCCTTTATTCATGATATTGTATTTAAATAAATGAGCTCATCTTTGTATATAAATTATTGTTTTGAAATAGACCGGTAACACTTAAAGAAAGTCTAAAACTTTGTCCAATCATATTTTAGAAATGTTAGAATAATAAAACATTTTGGGACTTCACACATTTTCAACCCAAATATAGACATAAATTAAGCTGATTGTCTTTCAAGTATAGCTCAGCAAGCAGCACAAAAATTGAATATTAGGAAAAAATACCGTCACTTCTCTTGAACAACTAAAAATTCTTTCCAAAGTGTTATTTTTTCACCAATTACTAATTTGCAAATTAATCTGAAATGTCAAGTCCAATTTTCACTGAATCCTTTATTTTCGAGAAATCAGTTTTATAGTGTGTCGAGTCCGATCTTGCCCTATCGAATCCGAACTTGCCCCAATGAGTCCAACGGAGTCCCATGGTTGATGACTTTGCCCCATCAAGTCCCAACGTGCCCCATCGAACCCCATGGAGTCCCATCAAATCCCACCTTGCCCCATTGGTGTATGTTGGGCTTCACATAACATGTGACCTGATCGGAAATCCCACGATGCCCCAGGGAAAGAATGAACATGTTCATTCTCGATGGGGCAAGATGGGACTCCGTGGGATTTTGCCCCATCGAATCCCATCGAGTCCAACGTGGGACCTCATGGGACTCGATGGGGCAAGATTATATGCAAGTTGGGGCAAAATCCGACGGAGTCCCATTGATTCCCACGGACTTCATGGGGCAAAATCCCAAAAGGTCCCACTAGGTCCCACGCCATGTTAAGTCTATGGAGGTCCCAACTTGTCCCATTGGTGTATACCGGGCTTTAGAGTATCATTAGCAAGTGGTACACATATAACAGAGATCGGTTATATACTGCATTGTCTGAGTATTGACAAATTGAAGTATACGTGTAAAAATCTACTATCATACATGTAACTGCGCAATGAGCCCTTCATAGCGTTTGTGCCAGCTATCAGGTGATACCCGGTCGTAAAGATAAGTGCGAGACTAACTCTCTTACTTTAATACTAGGAAAATATCAAATCATAGAACTGAAGGATGTCGGAGATTTCTCAAGCCTATATATCAGTTCAGATAATTTATCATCCACAATTTAGGATTGTGAACTGATGACATCATCAAAAAGTGTATATAACGATACATCCATTCATTTACAGTTAGAGGTCAACGAATAAAGAAGGAATGGTTCGCATCTAAATATTTCTAAAACGAACGTAAACAGGATTTAGCTGAAAATAAAAAATGCAAAATAACCTTTTCAATGATTTTCTTACAATTTTAACGCTTTCCTCCCCAAAGGGTATCAAATAATCATACAAACAAAATTGTTCAGTTTATAAATGCCATACATATTTTAAATGGCCATTTGCTACATTTTTAATATTCTGATAAAATCATTTTGCTCCCTAACATTGACTGCTCCCTAACATCGACAAGAGTTATTTTTTATTATTTTTTAAAAAATTGAATAAAAGACGGCGTATCTGTTTGAAGTAAGAAATATTTTAATCGGTATTTAGACTATCTTGGATAATAATTAGAAGCCTTCGTTAAATTACGTTAAAAAGTTATAATGGAAAAACGATCATTTTGAGTGTAGGGCGTTCGCGCCTTTTTTAGTAACTTCGTATTAGATTATAAAAGACTTCCGCCGAATTTAGTACAGAAGCGTGATTGACATTGTCATTGCATGTGCTAGTACATTTTCTCTGCGAATGAGCAGTTTTTCAGTAAAAAAATATTTTGTGTGAAAATATTGAAATTTATTGTAAAAACGACCTGCTCCCTAACATTGACCAAATCAGGCGATGACATCCCGTGATTATACTTAGTAAAACAAATATAAGAAAATATTTTGGTTAGATCAAACTGATTTAAAAATTCAGTTGTCATTTCCTACTTATTATACACAAATTAAGAGTCGGTGACATCACATTATATTTCAATATGACAACCCAGTTGAAATGAACAATACATTTTCAATGATCATATTCAACCTAAACAAAAACCCTTTTCATATTTACACATGCATTGATAGTTCAATATTGGCTCTCAAAAGGAATCTCCAGAGTCCAACAGAGAAGTTGGCATTGCCAAACTTTTGGAGGGGAGTGTAAGACAAGTACCCCAAACTCGCACATCTCTGCCCCATGCAACTAGAAACTAGATACTTGGTATTACAACATACAACTTGTATCAAGTCCCTGTGGACCCCCTAACATAGAAATATACACAATAAATAGGAAGAAGTAGCACAACCCTATGATGGACTACATTATTTAAATCGACTATGACAATCATTTGATTTCAAAATACATTTAAAGATGGCGTATCAGTACAATGGACTAAAATGATTATTCACAAAAGCTTGCATTGAGTGACTCGTTGAGTCTGAAAAATAACATGAATGGGATGTAATATTACGCTCATCATATTATATTATTAATAACTTGGAACTTATAAAATACTAAAAAATAGATACTGTCTCATTTTTCAAGCTGCTCTTATTAAATACAAGACACAACATTCCACGCATAACATGCATACCAAAACTACCATTGAGATAATGCATCTTTTATTACAATCATGTATATTATAAAAGAATAAAAAAAACTCCAGCATTAATAGTCCTTTATAGCCCTTAATATTCCCTTGCCCTACCCACCTTGTAAAGTAGGTGGGGTGGGGGACACAAGGGGGGGGGTCTAGCGACCTAATACAAGACTAACCTGCAAGATACACATCCGAGGACTGGGAATTCAGTACTAAAGTATAAAATCCAATAGCTCTGGTTTATGATTGTATTTCATTCTTCCAGTGATCATCCTATCCTTTCATATATGTAATTGCAAAGTATAAAAACTAATAAAATTCAGTCAACCTGATATGAAAACACATGTGACAAACATACCTCATTTTATAAAAAGGTGCTCATTGTCATTTATGTTTGATTTCACTCATAAAATGCCATTAATGTACTCTTGTTAATTCCTGTAGCATTCAACGATATTCCAATGGGCTAATATTCTGCAGTATTTTCCAACTATTATGTATATTAATAACTATTGTACCCAGTCATCATTCTCCATAATGTGATTACCAAACTGTCACTTTGTATCATTACAATCTCATATTATAAAAGAGGAAAAAATCAGGCAGATAATCAAGCCCCCGTGCCCCCCTGCCATAGCTTTTGTGCAGAGATGTTGCCATTTAAATAAAACCTTTTGAAAGTGATCTTCAAATTCTCCAAAAACAAATTGTTAACAGGGGTTTTCCCAGATTAAAAAATGTGGTACAGTAAATCTAAATAAGTGTGGCAAAATGTTAAGTGAGGTTTATAACTACATTCATTTCCACAGATTTAGTTGAAAAACACGTCATTATATAATGTTAAAATTGCTGAGGCAGATGCCTCAACTACTTCATACCTGACTAGACACATGGGTACATTATGTAACTCAATGGTTTGCATCATTAATTTTAATACTGCTCACAAAGTCAAAGTTCAGTTTGTGTCAGTTTTCCAATGAGTAAGCCAATGGATTATATACTGCTCCCTAAAATCTATGATGTACAGAAAAACATGTCCAATCAAAACACTAATGGAACTGGTCAAAAGTGTTGGATTTACATACATTAGATTTCAATGGTTTTTTAATATGGAAGTCTCTAATGATTAAAAATGGAACGAAAAATAGTGTCCAGATTGAGAATGGTCAGATTAGAGAGGTGTTCAGTATATACAGGTTTTAATGTACATCATTTGATTGCATTACATTGAGTGAAAATGTATTGTCTACAGGGTGTCAGAAATGTATGGCTTCCAATCCAGCACACTGATAGTAAATGTATATCTCAAAAATATACATCAATCTTGTATTTTTGAGCATCAGAATTTAAAGAACTGTGCATAACAATTCTTGAAATTGTTCAATTATTGTGCAGATCTGATTATAAAATTGATTCTTGGGCATCAGTCATTATTACTACTGCTTAAGTCCTTCATTGCTTCAGTAATACTGTCAGATGTGCCTGTAAGAGCCATGAGCATATGAGCTTGTTGCTGTTCTATGGGTAGTGCTCACTTCCTATTAATCATTACTACTACTGCTTAAGTCCTTCATTGCCTCAGTAATACTGTCAGATGTGCCTGTAAGAGCCATGAGCATATGAGCTTGTTGCTGTTCTATTGGTAATGCACATTCCCCATCCCAATGTGCTTGGCTATAGGAATGTGACTGGAAAAAAAGATGACAAAGCATATGAATTTTTACAAATTCAAAGAAGACTTTTGACAAATACATACATTAAAGTCTCAGTCGACCCTAGAACTACCACAACAGGCTAGCGACAAACTATCCTTGGGGGTTAATAATAGACACTTTGTAAAGTTAGAATTTCTAAATTGATGACCCTAGTTATAGTTATACTTTGTATGGAATAAATTATTTGAGTAGCTATATCATACCATATCTGTATCTCTGTTCCATATTTTATTGCACATTCCTGAACAGATTGGACATGGTCGCGTCATTGGATGTCCCCCACATTCAGAGCATCCTGGACTCACACCTCCTTCATACCAACAAACACCACACCTGGAATCAATCATTAATTAGAGTGAATGCCCAAACAGGTCACATGCATAGAGGAAGAGGGAATGCCTAGACTAGAATGAGGCCCCTTGGATTCAGGGAATCCCCAGCATACCCTTTTTGAAGAACATGCATTCTTGAAGAAGATTCAAGATGCATTCAGAAGAATGTATCTAGCTTGGATTGCATAACCTTGGAAAAATAGTACCATATTGTATGGTATGGTATGGTATGGTATGGTATGGTATGGTATTGGCATGTATATCATACAACTTTTACTCACGTCCTACATGTATTTATCCAGCGTTGATACTCATCAGATTGTCTAAGTTGTTTTACTTGTTGTTCAGTCTCTACCTGGGCTTGCCTCTTATACTCATCAGGGGAGATTTGCTGAGCATAAATGTGTGGATTAAACTCCTCCATTTGGTCTGGTGATCTGTCAACACTGTACAATTGCTTGACCTTTAAACAGCACTAGAATGTGTACAAGTACATCAGTAACAAGAACCAGTTAGGTTTTTGTCATCCAGATCTATATTAGTCTCAGTCCAGATTAAGAATCGATTCCATTGGGTTAAATCAAATCTGCTTATGTCTAACAATCAATCAGCCACTTTATGTTCATTGATTCCAATTGTGGACTTGTATGTATGAAGATAGTGACAATGACATCAAACATGTATATAAGCTGAGTCTTCTCAAAGGTATCTGAAAGAAAAAAAAACAAACACTTGAGAACCCTTGAGATAATTTTCAATATAATTGCTATATGAGAGGTCATTCCCAAATGGTCACTAGAATGGTACTATATAGCACCATACATGTATGTGGGCCATGCATATAGTACTCGTTCACACGTATGTACTGGTGATCCACTCGATTACGCTGGTTCGTTTCAGTAACATAATGTCGGAAAGTCGAAGCATGGGCTCAATCAGGTGGTAGAGCCCATGGTCGAAGGTATTTCGAAAAACAGTTAAGATCTGCACTTTTAACCCATACCGTTAATGTAACTTAAGTGAGGAATTAAATCGACGATTCTGTTGTCTTCTGAGCTATTTTTTCGCAAACATGTACATTTTCTAAACTATATGATACTGATACACGTTTGTAAGAAAAAATGTCGTGGGGATTCTGCCTACAACGTGTGAAATAAGGAACCAGCGTAATCGAGCGGATCACCAGTAGTGCAATGCAAGGAGAGACACTCAATGGTTACTGATGTGTTCATTCGGATGCAATTCGGATTATAGTTGCACATCGATAAATTGCTAACCATGAGTGTCTATCCTCTTTCCATTGCCTACAACATGAACCTGTATCAACTACTGACATCTATTGGGTGGTCGAACCTGGGGTCAAACCTGAAAGAATATTCACAATTCTGAAGTTTCTCTATAACTACATGGTGTACATGGTTATAAGCCCAGGTTTGCCAATGTAAAGTCCATTTCACTGCTTCATTTCGTCAGTAGAACGGCAAAAATAAGAAATTGGGAGACCATTGTGCAATAATATATGGAAAAGTATATTCATAATGTACATGAATGACATTTGTATATTTCAGATTTTTTAGTTTTTTGTGCAATAAGCCTGTGCCGTCTTGTAATTTGAAGAATTTCAGCCATGTTAATCTTATTGAAAATAACATGGCAGAGAAACATCCAAATATAAGAGGCCAGACACTTTATAAGCCAAACTAGAAGCAATCCAAGATATACAAGTGTCATTCATGTACATTATGAATATACTTTTCCATATATTATTGTACAATGGTCTCCGAATCTCTTATTTTTGCCGTTCTACTGACGAAATGAAGCAGTGAAATGGACTTTATGTCAGCTGAGAGATGTCAGTAAAGAGTCAAGTTCCTGTGAAATACATTTGTCAAATAGCTTATTTTCTGCCTCTGTCCTCAAATAGAATACCATTAGAAATTACTTAATAAGATCACATATCAGATACCACCACATAAATGGTTAAAAGACATAATAACAAAAGAAAATAGAAATGTCAAAAAATATTTACTTACTTCCGGGTTTGGTAGTTTTCTATTTCCGGGTTCCGGTTAACGACAACCCCGGTGAGTCTAAGCGCCATTTTTGATTTTGTGTTTTTGTAAAATCAGGTATGTTTATTCGTATAACAGTTAAATGATATACAGTTATTGTATGTTCATTGTAAAATAATATATTTAAGCTTTTCAGAATTCAAAAGAATGGTGAATGGAACATCAGTTCTATTCAATGAGTGAGCAATGACTATTTGAAAGTAACTCTGATATTTTCATGAGCAGATTTTTTATGAAACTGAGAGATTATTTTGTGATTGATAGGCTAGTATTGTACAATTTGTATTGGCCCATTACCTCAGTCTTGGGGCGTCAACTCAAACAGGAAATTACCGATGGTTATGATTTGTCAATGTACAGAATGTTTTGATTTGATGGGCAGTTGGTTGAATTGTCACCCCTTCGTAATTCATTGGATAAATCGAGATGACGGGTACAAAGACTGAGTTGACAGCACAGATAATGGGAAGTTCTCCATATATCTACCTATACATAACATAAGGGGGGGGGCTTCTGTTCACTATGGTTGACAGGTACGAAACTGACTTGATGGGTAACAGAAAATGAAATGACCTCTGAGATGACAACACTACAGTGCTCACCATAAATAAATCACACCTGGATTTGCTGAAGTGAGGATTTCCCATGTTAAAAAGAAGAGAATTTTCAAGTGGCCGTATATTAGTTGTTGAGAGTATACAAAATATAAAATATACAAAACTTAAGGGATGTGTATCTAGAGGTCGCAACGGTACTGAAAACCAGTACCGGTAACCGTCACGGTAATAACCGTACCGTTACCGAAATACCGGTAAAAATATGTAAGATAAAATGCCAATGCGCTGCCACCCCCACTTTGTTCCTAGCTCTCTCTGTAGCTTCTCAAGTCTATATGCATACATGGTGCAAGACCGATTTGAACCCATACTGATGAACTTCACGAAATACATGTAGTAAGTACCTATTTTACGAATCAAGATGTATTCTTAGTTTTAAATTAAATATTTCAAACCATTTCTCAACTGTATCAATAGCAAGTGAACAATTGGACAGCTATTTGTCATCGGCATCGAAGTTTATTGACTGTCTTGAGGTCTGGAAAGTAAACGGAGGAAAATATCCTGATGTGGCGAGTTTGGCTGAAACATATCATGCTATTCCTGCGTCATCCGTGTCAAGTGAACGTCAGTTCAGTGCAGCTGGCAACATCATCACTTCCAAACGGGCAAGACTTCAAGCTGAGGTTGTCAATGCCTTGTTGTTCGTAAATGACTATTACAAACATAATTAATAGGACAACTGAAATAGCTTTTCTCAACTTGCAGCTACAAAAATGCGGTTTTCTCCATTGTAAGCCCAACGTAGAGTTCTTGCGATAGCCATTATAAAATAAATGTTAGATAACTGCTAACGGTCATAAATAACGAAACAAAACTAACTGATCAATCAAATTGGCCCCCACGTGATAAGTAACGTCATATACAAAATATAGCTTTGGTTTGTTGGTTCCTTAGTAATCACAACGTCACGGCAACCATAGGATTGTAGTGTAAACCAAAACAAAACATTTAGGCATTATGACGTTATGGGCCACGTGGGGACCAGTGAGAGATCACGTGGGGGCCAATAACGTCACAACCAATTCGAATATTGCTTATTAAGCAGCTATAACGATCGTTAGAGTGAAATAGTTTTCGCACTACTGATGAGAAAACATGTCCAAATACATTTATCAAAAAATTATATTGATTCCTGTAGGTTAAAAATACCATTTCATATCTGCTTTAAGTTTCTGGATCTGACGTTGACACTACAACTACACCTGAACAGCCAAACATAATTACAACCAAATCTGAGCCTAAGCATGAAGCTACTACACCCGAACTGCCAAACATGGACATCACACCTGAACTGCCAAACATGGACATCTAAATGTCTATGTAAATGCACGCATCGTGAAAGTGGAAATTAAACGAATTAATTAAAAAACGATGTGTCTTTTATTTCCCCGGGGATTATCGTCGGTTAACCGGTTAACCGGTTAATAATTTCAATACCGGTAAATGCTCAATTCCGTACCGAAGCCGTATAACCGGAATTACCGTCAGCCTCTATGTGTATCTAGACATTATTGGAAAGTATCAAGTCTCAAATCACCATGGTTTGGGAATAGTGATAGAAAATCAAGATGCCATTTATTTATGGTGAGCACTGTATTGTTAAAACTTTTGCCGATATGGATGCTGGTTTTATGGTCTTAGACTATCATTCACTTTGTGTATTCACTTTGATATCTAAAATATTTGAGCTTTAGAGTGCAAAATTGAGGTCACAGGAATTGGTACTGAGATGTCAGATAGTAGACCTGACATGACTGGTAACACACATGCATATGTTGAACTGACTCGGTGGGTAGCTCCGGTATTTCCTGGAAAAGTATTCAGATGACAGCATAACATCCTCCTAAGCAGGTGTCCAGAATCCGTACCACCTTCTTCCCCCCGCTATAACCAATTTGGAAGCGCCCAATTAAACTGAATCACGTGATCTAATTATGCGCAATGACTCACTTATACATGATTTCTGTCGCAGTGTTGCGACAGCCAATCAGATTGTGAGTTCTTAATCGGGGAAATGCTAACTGCTTATCGCAGGGGGTAAAAAGAAAGAATATACCCTGGATTTTGAAGCCCTGTGATCGGAGGATGACAGCATAATAGCGACACCCATTTTAAGACAAATGCATTACTAAGGCAAAATTCTAGAAAGTTGAATTAAAATATTTATTTGAATATAGGTTTTAGTTGATAGTTTGAGGCCACATGAGTCCATGTGCAAGAAGAGATTGTAACTATGGTTTCATTTAATCCAGGATAAAGAGTGTGTTGTGACCACAAGTCAGTAGAGCTAGGTTTTCATGAAAATAGCGTCTAGAAATATTTTGTATCAGGCTTATGGTATTAGTCTTATGAAAGATTTGCTATATGACCATCTTTGGCAGTTGTGTAGTGTACAAGGCTACAGACTATCACTCTAGATTCTTGGTATAATTGGTTATTTATAGAGCGAAACAGAATTACTAATGTACTATAAACAAGCCCATCACAATCAGATGTCATATGGATTTATATTTGCCAGCATGGAGCAGTTCAATGGTATGGCTACCCAGTGGAAGTATCATTCAAATACTAGAATAAGCAAAGAAACACATAGGATAATTACAGTGTATTTCATTTTCAGGGCTAAATACTTAATGGATCAACAATCATGGACATGGACTTATCAGCCAATAGAGATGGAACATCATCAATGATAGGACAGTTTGAGATATTTTGTCAAAAGGCAGCTGACACATATAAGCAGCATGTTCAAGGTAAATCGTTGATTAAATATATGTGTGCTCAAAAGGCTCTTGGATTCAGGCTCAACAAGTCAGGGAATACAATCAGGGTTGGGGAACAAGGGGTTAACAAATCAGGGAATATAATAGGATTGGGGAACAAGGGGTTAACAAATCAGGGAATATAATAGGGATTTGGGAACAAGGGTTAACAAATCAGGGAATATAATAGGGATTGGGGAAAAAGGGGTTAACAAATCAGGGAATATAATAGGATCGGGGAACAAGGGGTTAACAAATCAGGGAATATAATAGGATCAGGGTACAAGGGGTTAACAAATCAGGGAATATAATAGGATCTGGGAACAAGGGGTTAACAAATCAGGGAATATAATAGGATCTGGGAACAAGGGGTTAACAAGTCAGGGAATACAATCAGGATCTGGGAACAAGGGGTTAACAAATCAGGGAATATAAAAGGATCTGGGAACAAAGGGTTAACAAATTAGGGAATGTAATAGGATCAGGGAACAAGGGGTTAACAAATCAGGGAATGTATATCACATTTTTAGTATTGCAGTGCTTTGGAGTTGATAACCATAACTGTTCTAAAATTGTGGCTTCTAAAAACCATACAGATGCCAGTTTTGACCATTTGCCTCTATTCCCTATGAGGACAAATTCTTTACTCATTTCCGCTAAGACTGACCAATTTGAAATTATGAAAATAATTCTCTCCTTAGATACCTCCAAAGCATGCGGGCCAGATAATATCACAAACAAAATGTTGAACCTTACAGCTCATACCACTTCAAAACCTCTTACCATATTATTTAATAAACTTCTAACTAAATGCACTTATCCAGATATTTGGAAAATAGGCAATGTTTGTCCAATCTTTAAAAAAAATGATGAATCAAATGTTAATAACTACAGACTTATCACCTTGCTAAGCTCCATATCCAAAGTTTTTGAAAAGGTTCTTGCTGACAGAATCAGAAAACACTTACTTGATAATGATCTTCTTTTTAAGTATCAGTCCGGATTTTTACCTGGCCATAGCACCATTCATCAACTTTTATCTATCGAGCATTTTCATCAAACTACTTTTGAACAAGGACAAGCCTCCAAAACAATATTTTTGGACGTAGCGGCCGCTTTTGACCGGGTTCCGCACTCGTTACTCCTCCATAAACTCAAGGCGTATGGTTTTCAAGGTCAAATCCTTAAAATGATCACATCTTATCTTACCAACAGGAAAATTGCTGTTCAAATTTCTGGTGAGACCTCCAATTACTCAGAAACTAATTTTATAAACTGCGGTGTCCCACAGGGCTCAATACTAGGGCCAATACTTTTTCTAATATATATTAATGACCTTCCAGACAATCTGGATGGTCATTGCTACATTTATGCAGATGATACCTCATTACACCATCCTTTTGACCCAAAACAACCACAACAAATAGAAGCAGTGGTAAAATCCAATCTAATTAAAGTAGAAGAATGGTCTAACACTTGGAAACTTGATTTTAAACCGGAGAAGAGTTCCGAGATGATTTTTCACTCACCTAGAACAAAAACTGATAATGTGTCAACTTCAAAACTAAACAATATACAATTCAAAAGAGATACCGAGCACAAACATTTAGGACTCATTTTTGACCCATGTTTATCTTATGATAAGCATATTGGTGATTTACTAGTCAAAATAAGAAAAATGTTAAACCCATTAAAGAAACACAAATTCAAGCTTGGGAGCAAGCACCTAGAAACAATCTTCAACTCATTCATTCTTCCTCACTTTGATTATGGTGCCATTTTATATGGCACAGCTTCTAAATTTCTTTTGCGAAGACTCGATAGTCTATATTACACAGCGGCACTCTATTGTTCTGGCTGCATCCAAGGGAGCAGTACAGAAAAGGTCCTAAGTCTCCTAAACTGGCCAACACTTGAATCTAGACGTAGAATACAATCAAATAATTTTATGTTCAAAGTTGCCAATGGTACAAGTCCCTCATATATCACAGACATTTTTGATAAGTATAGTAATGTTAGGAACAGAAACTTGAGATACATTGATCCATTCAAATTGCCATAAGATGCTCTGCTAGATTCTCATCCTCAGCAATACCTTCTGCAATCTCAAAATGGCTAGAGCTCCCCCCTTCTATTAAAACCAAGAAAACTCTTCATAATTTCAAAAAACACCAACGGCTTTTCCTCCAAAACCCCTCTAAAATTTTGACCACAAGTCAACTCAATCTTTCTAGACGGCATGAGATAGTGGTGAATAAAGTAAGAGCTGACTTATTTTTTAAAGCTCAATTTTATGCCCATAATTTTAACTCTGTTGACAGCCCTAATTGTGCTTGTGGCAGCTCTCAAACCTTAAAGCATATTCTTTTCCAGTGCAATCGCTTAACCTTAGTAAGACAGGATCTCTGGGATAAACTTGCTGAATTAGAACCTTCTCTCAATAATAATCTTCCCCAGTATGATTTTATCTCCATTTTGAAAACAGGAAGCCCAAACTTAAGCATAGATGTAAACTCTAAAGCCATTTCACTGATACTTGACTTCATTATAGACAATAGCTAATTCCCTCCCTCATGTCTCTCTCTCTGATATCCTGTTGTCCTGTCACACCTGCTCCGGTCCGGGACCCTGTCTGCCTGCCACCCCCAGCCTCTCACCATTCCTATATAATGCCCTCTGGCGATTTAGGGATGCTATTGTAATTGTATTTTAAACTATATCAATGAAATAAATAAATAATAAAAAAAAAATTGTGGCTTATTTTGATTTCACAAACATCACTAGAAATATCTGATTCTTGTTGTGCAATAATAAAGATATTGTAAATTATATTTTCAGAGCTAGAGACACAGAAGTCAGATCTCATCACAAAATATGAAGAGTGTAACAGAGAAATAGACAGGTATGAATTCACAGGGAGCATGGTCCAGGATGCAGAAAGAAAAAACATTATAACTTGTCTTTATAAATCTTTGAAATAGATTGCACATGTACTTGAAAACTATAAAAATATCTTATTTAATAAATACAGTTTTGTTTTTCCAGGCTGAGTAGCAAGATCACTTGTCTTGAAGAGGAGAATGTATCATTGAAAAGACTGAATGAGACATTAATATCAAAGCATGCTAAACTACTGCAGAAAAATGGGTAAGTACATCTGTACGAGCATCATACATTTGGGAAACTTCACCATAATGAAAAGGATACAACTATGCATTCATTGATCAAATTGTATTAGATATATTTTTCTTTTCTCAATATCACTTAATTTTTTCTAGTTATGCCCCTTCACCTGTTGCAATGTTTTTCACCATAATGTGTTCTTGTGTTCATTTGAAAGCAAAGTATTTTTTTAAGCCATTTATAAAAGATCAATTTACAAATGCTGTACAAGTGAGCCTCTGAACCCACCAATACTAAATAGAGCCTGATGTTCCTGAAAGAGGGGTTTCTTTTAATATCGTAAACATGTATCTGAATGAATGTCAAAATGTAAAATGATTGGTCCAACTCCAATTCAGAAAACTAAAGTAATTTGAATAATTTCAAGGTAACTACTTGGCTCATGTTTAACTGAACCAATGTGTGAACAAATGCCTGAACCAGTGTCCTTATATTTTAGAGTCAGCACCAATGGGGCACAGAATAACATTTTGAGGGAACGAGATCAGCTGAGAGAATTTCCAGAAATAAAACAAGCACATCTTAAAGTCCTTGGTAAGCAACTAAGCATTTTGCCTGTATATATATCTTTATTTTTACACCTTATTTATGATACATTAGAATGTTGAGAGTACTAAATGCATAAATCATTGAAATTATCAATTTTAATTGTTATGATGACAAATAAAATAGTTTGGTCAAGTGTACCAGTGTTGCATTCTGAGTATTCCAGATATTTTTCACATCTAACATGTGTAATGCAATTTGCAGGGGGGAACCACGTATGTGCTAAAAATGATGGATCCCAAAGGATGGAACAGTTACGAAATGCTCCTCTGAAAGACCAATTAGCCAGTCAAACAAAACAAGGTCAATTGGATGAAGAGGTAAATAGTTATATGTGTTTATATATTTTTAAAAACTTAAAAGTTGCTCTCTTTCAAGAATAAATGAAAATGATGTTCACTTTCAAAATATAATTAGGGCTAAATGGACTTTTGCCCGTCAACAATTTAATGGTCCAATGGTATGGTTTTTGACATTCCAATGCAAGTAACAATAGGCACTGGAAAGGACCTCAGTGGCTTATAATGTTTTTTAACAAAGCCGCTCATATGTACCTGTATGTATTATTATTATTTGATTTATGGAAATAAAGTTATGATAAAAAAAGGACCCCACTTTTTATTCTTTTTCTTTGTCTTTTGTCATTTGATTTTTTGATTCTATTTTCAAGAATGATGGGTTATCTGAAAATACAGAATGTTTGGAGAAAAAGCTAAAGCTACGCAAAAATAATCTGAGAAAGAAAAGATACAAAGAGGTATAGTACTGAATGTTTAGCATATTGTTATGTTCTTTTGATAGATTCACAGATTTATCATAATGGTAAATTTTTCAACATATTTGAAATTGCAGAATTTTTGATTTTGCAGAATTTAGAGAATCTATTGATCATTGCAGGACATTATACAATATTTAGAAAATTCAAATCCTCACATTATCCTCAACAGTCGTAAAATAATTGAATTTTTGTCATAATTTTTTGTTTAAGTTTTAATATATGGAGGATTTCTGAAAATAAACTGCACCGTTGGGATTTACATTTGATTATAAAATTTCAGGAGAAGTCCCCACCAGAACTAAAGAGGAAAACTACATTCACTGAACAACCTAGTGCTGCGATTAAGAAATCCCGCCTTGAAGCAGACCTCTACGTACCTGAGACAATGGACTTAGATATGGAAATACCAACAAGACTGGTTAAAAGTGAGAAAAAATCTGCAATAATCATTCCTGAAACTGTTCCTATGGATATACTAGATGAAGTGGACTCAATGGAATATACACCATTTTCTCAATCGAATTCTCAAATGAATTTAAAATGTCTGAAAAAACAAACTCAAGTTAATGATGTGGACTCAAGAACATGTAGGTCATTTAAACCACCTCCAATAGCTCCATCATTATCCAGTACCCCAATAGAGGTAAAATCCCAGAATGCCGTGAAACCAACAAGTTCTTTACACATGACTGAATTCAGTGCAATAGCCCATGATAGCGATAATGAATCTGAGTCAGATGAAATGAGTACAAGGATTTTAGATAATGCTCCTGCTTCCCCTCCCAGTTCACCCGTATTTGGAAGCAACAACAACACATCTAGTGAACATGCCTTGCCAAACATAACACATTCCCCATTGTTCAAGGATGAGCATGACCCAGATATCATAGAAAAGACTGCCAGTTTCAATATTGAAAAACCAGAGATATCAGGCAATGATATCAATACAAGAAAAGACAAGCCCCCGCTGCCACCAAATATTGAATCACTCTTTGAACCACCTGAGGAAGAATCGGATTCACAGTCACCATTACTCCTGAAAAGAAACCAGAATAAAAATTCTGTTAGGGTTGGAGTTAAAAACAATACAGAAACATCCAAATCTTCTCCATCTGTGCTAAGTGGAAAGTCAAAACCGTTAACAAACGCAACATATGAAGAAGATCAAGAGCCACATGATTGGTTACGTAAAACGAGGTCAAACACAAAACATTCACAAAGCTCATCTCAAGGTTCAAAACACTCACAGGAACAACTCTCAGGGCATGTAAAACCAAAGGGGAAATCTAAAAGAAAAGTTAAAAAAGATGATAAAAATCTTCTTCAGACAACAATGACTCAATTATTTGACTCAGTGGAGAAGAAAAAGAAATCAAAGCGAAATCAAAATAAATCAGATGTTCTTGAAACCAAATTTCACAGTTCACAAAGTGAAAACAAAAATAAGTCAAAAGAAAGTCGAAACAATGACAGTCCAAGTAAGAAAGAAACAAGTGCCGACAAATTAAAGTTTGATAGAGAATTAAGAGCAGCAATGAGGAACTCTTTAAAGGAAACAACTAACATAACTGATAATGTAACTGATAACCCAACATTAGAAAACACAAGGGATGAGACTAATCTACCACATACTGACATTAGAAATGATCAACTTGATACATATGACTCTGATGAAACATGCATCACGCAACACAACAAATCAAGAAAACTAAAGAAGATAGAGAAAGAAAAACTAGTCAATAGAGACAATAGTGAACATGGATTCAATTTCAAAAAGCCATGTACTCCAAAGAAATGTATTCAATCTGAGAACTTGTCTCCAAGAAGGAGTCCAAGATTGTTAAAACATCACCATGATCAGGAAAATGATGAGGGCTCACTTCCTGATATTGACATTAATAAAAAGTTAAAAGGAAAAGTGAAACGTAAGATCTTGAAGTCTAAGAAAAAATTAGAACCAAGTTTAAACATTGAACCCTCTAATCCTGGACATATAGATTTAAATGGGACCATTGATCCAAACTTGAGACTGACACAGTTTGAGGATTCAAATAAAGATGGTGCTGTTGCAACTATTGTTGCCATGGAAACGTACAATTCTGATATGAGCTCTGAATTTCTTGACCAGCCTGGGAATATAGGGACACCTGTAATAGGACCACCTGTTGAGTTAGAGGGGTCTGAAATGGAGAAGTCCCAAGCCATTTCCTCATCGTGTGCGAGTGTAACATTTGGTCGGGTGTCCACTCACTTTGAAAATCATGAAGAAGACCAGGATGAGAGCTCTCAGGATATATTTGGTGAAAATAAAGGTCAGTTGGAAATATTTTGATTTTTAATTCCTTAATAACATGATGGATATTATTTGATTTTACACATAAAATACATTGTAGAGTTCAACAAGTTAAACATAGCAAGCCTTATTGACTAATCTGAGTTGGCTAGGTTTAATGTCTGCTAATCTCACCCTTGGAGCTAGGCCTGAAAAAATGATATGGTGTTTAGTTTTTTGAGGATGAATTTATCCTTGCATCAAGCCATCAACATATTACTATATTATACGCATCTATGATCATGTCTTGTTAACCATGTTATTGATATACCCATTTAAAGCATGCATTTATGGCTTTCAGGAGAGGACAGAAATGATGCTACCTGTCCTATGGAATCCTTCCATGACAGCTTTGACCAGTAAGTTTCCCAACATTACAATGCTTCATGCTCTGGAGTGACTTGCCTTCACATATTATTAACTCACCACAAATCAGCATTTCTCTGTCCACATTGGAGTGATGCATTATCACTTTTTATGATGAAATGAAAAAAGAAAATGATTTTCAGACATTCAGTAATTTAAAAGAGTATAACAGGAAATTTAAATAGATTCAAAAATACTCCTTAAGTCCTTGCTATTGCCAACATTAATGACAATTAGAGTCAGAGAGAACCAGAAAAGATATTAGCATTGATATTAGATTAGATATTAGAAATGATTTATTACTTCATGTTGAAGGTTACCCAAACAGGCAGATGGAAAGCCTGACTATGCACATGTGGAGGTGGTCAGAAAACATGCTGAGCGAAGGAAACTTAAAGGATTCTGTTGTAAAGAGTGTGCTAAGGTATTTATTAATTAATATGTTAAAACCCAATTGAAAGTATATTGCATACAAAAATAAAATAAATTATTGCAAAAAATCAGAGGTGGGTGGCAGGGTTCAAAACTGACTGCAAATGGCAATCAATTATAACAATAAAGTAGGAAGACAGTTGCCTATTGGACAATGGACTGAATGGCAATATGTTAAATTTGGCAATCATGAACCCTGATGGATTGGGCTTAAAAGAATGTTCTTTATTCAACGTTAAATCCAAAATATTAACCTTGACTTTCCTTTTCAGTATTTGGATACTCTAGCCTTGACAGATTCACAGAAAAAGGAGCGTTTGAAGGCGCAATCTCGCCACCGTGGCCAGTTTGAAGCTCCCAGCACCCCAGAGCACTTCTGGTCTATAGGCATGCAAGATACACCTGAAGTTTTAGAGAATGGTAATCTGTGAACTGTCTTTCACTTACTCCTAAATTGATAATACAGGGTACCCAGTCTCTTTACACAGAATTTGTATTGTAATTGTAAGAAGACTTTAGGGACACCTTGTATTAAAAGATGTATATGCACATAATGATAATGTTTCATGTGCATGTATGAAAGCAGGAAGGATTTTCTCTTACTAAAAGGATATATAGTACTATAGAATGATAGAAACACTATTGTAATCCATTAATGAAAGGCATTGTAATGAGTGTTATTCTGATGCCTAACCCCAAAGACTAAAACCCTTAAAGGATAATGCCTTGTATTGATTCTACACCATAGGGTGCATAGAACCAAAGTAACAATTGTATTGATAAAGATTCTCTATTATGTACAAAAATTGCTAAGATGACATAATTGGTCATTTTGTGTAATATCTACCACAATTAATTTGATGTTGGCAAGTTTTTCACATATGAAGAAATATTTCCAGAGTATGGCGGCTACATGGCAGTGGAGACAAAGAGTCAGGTGAAAGAGAGGCCACGGAGACGTCGTCCCTTCAACAAGATGTTTACAACAGAAAGGGAAGACAATCAATTGAATGATGATGATGAACAGTCAGAAAATGAAAGTCCACTTGAGGACTTGTAAAAATTGAGTTTCAGTATACATGTACTATATTGAGTACATGTCAGTAACACTTGCCTAATCTGAACGCCACTTGGGCCAGCCAAAATGTTGAGATTAGTGGGTGTTCAGTCATTTGAGAATTTTTTCTAATAATTTATTTATGTCCATGGAGAGACCAAGAAAAAGTCTTCATATTAGAAAGGTGTTCTGATATACAGGTTTCACTGTATGTATTAAATTAATTCAATGTGCACATAAGATTTGCTAAAATCAACCTGATTTTCAATTTTGGATACATTCACTAGACTGGGAGGTGAATTTAATAGATCTATAATTTTATAAGGCTAGTAGGATACAAGCCATAGTACATTAAATCATCCATAATTAACTGAGTCAAAGACTATATTATTTGCATACATTGTAAAATATTTTGTATAGTATCAATAAAAAGAGTGAAATTATAACTTTTTTGCAAGGGTCTTGCAAAATAGCCATTCACTCGGTTGTAAAATATAATATAATATAAATAAACAAAGATTTTCATAAATTGTCCATGATATAAATTATTTATATTTTTATTTGTATAATAAAAATACAAAATGCTCAGGAAATATGTGTTGTGTTGGATAAGATCAATGAAAATAATATTTATGTCACCACCAAGAAATGGTGACATATTGTTATTAATGTAAAAGGCTCTGCTTTTAGGTGACCAGAGTTTGGCATCTGTGACATATTGTTACACTTTTGTAACCATTTTCAATAACCTACCAGGTGGTGACATTTTGTCACGTTTTAGCTTCCTTTACACTCGTTTGACCCCATTTATTAGAAACGTTCATATTAATCCATGCCTTTGCTTCCTTTACACTTGTTTGACCCCATTTGTTAGAAACGTTCATATTAATCTATGCCTTTGCTTCCTTTACACTCGTTTGACCCCATTTGTTAGAAACGTTCATATTAATCCATGCCTTTGCTTCCTTTACACTTGTTTGACCCCATTTGTTAGAAACGTTCATATTAATCCATGCCTTTGCTTCCTTTACACTTGTTTGACCCCATTTATTAGAAACGTTCATATTAATCTATGCCTTTGCTTCCTTTACACTTGTTTGACCCCATTTGTTAGAAACGTTCATATTAATCCATGACTTTGCTTCCTTTACACTTGTTTGACCCCATTTGTTATAAACGTTCATATTAATCTATGCCTTTGCTTCCTTTACATTTGTATGACCCCATTTATTAGAAACGTTCATATTAATCCATGCCTTTGCTTCCTTTACACTTGTTTGACCCCATTTGTTAGAAACGTTCATATTAATCTATGCCTTTGCTTCCTTTACATTTGTATGACCCCATTTGTTAGAAACGTTCATATTAATCCATGCCTTTGCTTCCTTTACACTCGTTTGACCCCATTTGTTAGAAACGTTCATATTAATCTATGCCTTTGCTTCCTTTACACTTGTTTGACCCCATTTGTTAGAAACGTTCATATTAATCTATGCCTTTGCTTCCTTTACACTTGTTTGACCCCATTTATTAGAAACGTTCATATTAATCCATGCCTTTGCTTCCTTTACACTTGTTTGACCCCATTTGTTAGAAACGTTCATATTAATCCATGACTTTGCTTCCTTTACACTTGTTTGACCCCATTTGTTAGAAACGTTCATATTAATCTATGCCTTTGCTTCCTTTACACTTGTTTGACCCCATTTGTTAGAAACGTTCATATTAATCCATGACTTTGCTTCCTTTACACTTGTTTGACCCCATTTGTTAGAAACATTCATATTAATCTATGCCTTTGCTTCCTTTACACTTGTTTGACCCCATTTGTTAGAAACGTTCATATTAATCTATGCCTTTGCTTCCTTTACACTTGTTTGACCCCATTTGTTAGAAACGTTCATATTAATCTATGCCTTTGCTTCCTTTACACTTGTTTGACCCCATTTGTTAGAAACGTTCATATTAATCCATGACTTTGCTTCCTTTACACTTGTTTGACCCCATTTGTTAGAAACGTTCATTGTTAGAAACGTTCATATTAATCCATGACTTTGCTTCCTTTACACTTGTTTGACCCCATTTGTTAGAAACGTTCATATTAATCCATGACTTTGCTTCCTTTACACTTGTTTGACCCCATTTGTTAGAAACGTTCATATTAATCCATGACTTTGCTTCCTTTACACTTGTTTGACCCCATTTGTTAGAAACGTTCATATTAATCTATGCCTTTGCTTCCTTTACATTTGTATGACCCCATTTATTAGAAACGTTCATATTAATCCATGCCTTTGCTTCCTTTACACTTGTTTGACCCCATTTGTTAGAAATGTTCATATTAATCCATGCCTTTGCTTCCTTTACACTTGTTTGACCCCATTTGTTAGAAACGTTCATATTAATCTATGCCTTTGCTTCCTTTACATTTGTATGACCCCATTTGTTAGAAACGTTCATATTAATCTATGCCTTTGCTTCCTTTACACTTGTTTGACCCCATTTGTTAGAAACGTTCATATTAATCCATGCCTTTGCTTCCTTTACACTTGTTTGACCCCATTTGTTAGAAACGTTCATATTAATCCATGCCTTTGCTTCCTTTACACTTGTTTGACCCCATTTATTAGAAACGTTCATATTAATCCATGACTTTGCTTCCTTTACACTTGTTTGACCCCATTTGTTAGAAACGTTCATATTAATCCATGCCTTTGCTTCCTTTACACTTGTTTGACCCCATTTGTTAGAAACGTTCATATTAATCTATGCTTTTGCTTCCTTTACACTCGTTTGACCCCATTTGTTAGAAACGTTCATATTAATCTATGCCTTTGCTTCCTTTACACTCGTTTGACCCCATTTGTTAGAAACGTTCATATTAATCTATGCCTTTGCTTCCTTTACACTCGTTTGACCCCATTTGTTAGAAACGTTCATATTAATCTATGCCTTTGCTTCCTTTACACTCGTTTGACCCCATTTGTTAGAAACGTTCATATTAATCTATGCCTTTGCTTCCTTTACACTTGTTTGACCCCATTTGTTAGAAACGTTCATATTAATCTATGCCTTTGCTTCCTTTACACTTGTTTGACCCCATTTGTTAGAAACGTTCATATTAATCTATGCCTTTGCTTCCTTTACACTTGTTTGACCCCATTTATTAGAAACGTTCATATTAATCCATGACTTTGCTTCCTTTACACTTGTTTGACCCCATTTGTTAGAAACGTTCATATTAATCTATGCCTTTGCTTCCTTTACACTCGTTTGACCCCATTTGTTAGAAACGTTCATATTAATCTATGCCTTTGCTTCCTTTACACTCGTTTGACCCCATTTGTTAGAAACGTTCATATTAATCCATGCCTTTGCTTCCTTTTCACTTGTTTGACCCCATTGTTAGAAACGTTCATATTAATCAATGCCTTTGCCATTGGTATAGCCAGACACATGGTTGGCCTAAATATTAATTCAGATAATTTTTCACTTGGAACTTTGAATTTGAGGTTCTATGATTGCATTTTCCCGTCCTTAATGGTTTGCCTCATCTGTTCCAAGATCTGGCTTAACGCCTCTGAAACTTTAAAACGATTCAACCAAGTACAAGAGTGATGCAAGTAATGTATAAAGAAGGGTGTTAAATATTGGGGATAGCCTATATTTTAATATTATACAGTCCTGGGGCAAGCCATTCATTCAAATATCTTGTATTGCCCAAACTCAAAATCTTTTATCTGATATAGATACAATGTATCGTTTGTGATATCAACAAAAGAATTATGTAATAGATTCATATATGATATTACAGACACACTTAATAGATTAGAAACAAATAATGAAATAATGAAGAACAGAACTCAACTTTATTAAATATTCATATGCACTGTGTCAGGTTGGAACTACTGTAAACTGGGTTGGTTTGGCGCTGTTTGATTTAGTGCTTTCATATTATGAAAATTGGCAAATATTAGATTTCTTGTATTTCTTGTTAAAGTACCATGGAATAATCTGGAATTAAATTTTGAATGTGAATTTAATCAATATAAACTAGAAATAGCAAGGAAAGGCTTAAAATTCTGTCAAATCAAAAATTACCAATACTGTACGCCCGGTATTATTCGCGAGCTTTAATTTCGCGAATTTTGCGAAAACACGGTTTCGCGGCTATTAAATTTCGCGAATTTCACAAGTTTGAAATTCATTATTCTCGGAATTCTCAAGCTAAATTACTAGTCTGCTAGTAGATGTACAGTAATTGCACTTACCTGATGTCATAGTTGGATCAGATTTACAATAACTGGGATCTTTATCATCGGCAAGCTGCATATCAACTTCTATTATCGCATCGTTAATTTCGGTCTTATTTTAAAACGAAAAAGCAGTTTGAATTCGTATTTTGTATTACTAGTAGTTATTCGAATTTTGTACTCACAACATTTAATTGGCAATTTCGCGACGATAATTTTTCGCGATTTTAACACCATCGCGAAAAGCGCGAAAGTTAATCGCACGCGAATAATACCGGGCGTACAGTATGTCAAATATAATTCAAAATTTGATCAATTATTAATGGTTTTTATGTTAACTACATTAGCATGATTGGTCAGTGTCCAATATTGAGCACCTCATATGTGTATCACCATTTGTTGGGAGAACATCAGAATTCATCCAGTAATTCAAGGTACATGAGCTGTGTATATTTTAAGAAATACAATACCAAATTAAAAGATGGATAATTTAGCGACATTTACTTTATTTTTTCTTCAAATCTTATTGAAGTATGTTCAATGTGACCAGTTGACTCTGGGATATTTTTCTCCACAAATGATCAATATGAAGCTGGATGATATCCCTGATGCAACGATAGAGAACACTGGCAACTTGGAGTGTCTGCAAATGTGTGTCCGAGCCAAGACATGTAAGGCTTTTAATTACCATGGTGATTCCTCAAAATGTCAATTATTTGACAAGGTGGCTTGCACAAAAATTTACACATCAACTGGATGGAGATTCAGTCGGATCAAACCAGGTAAGGTTCTTTTGTTGCTGTTGCATTGAATTTTGATGTCACAGCCAAAACGAGGTGATATTTTGTTAAAGGCAAGTTTTTGTGATAATATGGTGGTTGGCATTGAGTGGTTGGCATTGGGTGGTTGGCATCTGTTACAAATTGTTAGACTTATTTTTAACCATTTGCAATAATGTACCAGTTAGTGAGGTTTTTTCTATGGCTTGTTCTCTTTATGTTTATGATAATCTTAAAATGCAACCAGTTCAATATGAACTACATGGGCAGTTTATCTTGCCACCTATACTATAATGCAATCTATACTCACGCACATATGATTTTATGGCATATTTATGAACTTAGCTGAGATCTGATCAACATCTGTAAAAAATCATCAACTGGCCACTTTGTTGGAAGTGAATTTTTCTTATTGGGTACATTTTGATAGAAGATCTTCTGACATCATGACACATTTTGCATGAAATAAAATTACAGTAAACCTGTATATCCGAACACCTCTCTTATCCAAACACCTCTCTTATCCAAATACCTCTCTTATCCGAACACTTTTCAATGAGAATACTTTCTTGGTCCTAAATTTGTTTCCCATTGACTCGCCTATTAAGAAAAACTTTTGGCCGGTCATAGACTCCTAGTGGTGTTTGGATGTGACAGGTTTTACTGTAATACCAAAAATGCTAGTGAGCAGTGATGTGAATATTACCCCATATTACATGATTAGGAGTGTCTAAGCATTTTGATTGGTCAATTGTGATGATGTATATTCTGTATCACATGACACGTGACTAATTTTCATGTGATACGGTGGGCTGTATCACTACAGAGTCAATAGCAACAATGTGACGTCACTGGTTATATCACTTCCTAGCTAAGGAAAACAATATGGTGTCATACTATTTCACAAAAAAGTACAAATACAACGGTATAACATCATATTGTTTCAAAGTTAAATCAAAAATTATAATAGTTACCGAGAGTACAGTGAAAGAGTGAAAGAGTACAGGGTACTGAACACAATCCATAACTGACCAAATCAAAATGCTTCAAAATTCCTAGACATGACTCTGTGATAAAATCGTCATCACACGTTTCAGCTTATGAGATACAGGAAATATTCCAACCGGGTAACAATGTATCACCACTCAAGCTTCGCTTTCGTGGATGATACAATATTACCTTTCGTGGAATATTTCCTGTATCACATGCTGGAATGTGTGGTAACTGATAATAACCTATTACATCGAGTCATCTACATGACAAACTTTATTTCTTATTTTAGACCGCGAAACAATACTTTATAATGGCAATATCGCATTGAGTAAAACTACATATCAATCCTCTAAAGTAAGTAATAAGCTTGGGCCAGAACGAGTGGTGGATGGAAATCCCAATTCCTATTCTGGTACTGACTTTGGAGAATCAAGCTCATGGTGGATTGTCGACCTGGGAGACACATATAAACTTTTCCAGATCATCATCAGTATAAGTAAGATCCATTTGAGATTTAATTTGGCAGGATTCCAGTATTTGGAAAAACTACATTTTGTTATTTCTAGAGATTCATTAGTGATTGAAGTGTATTTTTTAATATATGTATTGCAATCTTGTATTTTGGTTGGTAACAACATTTTTTGAGTTTGTTGAAGATTTTAATTGTAATATGGCAAATAAATGATTCACATTCAATGTTTACTTTAAAGGGAGACCAGGGGCTGAATCAAATTATTACAACTATTCCGTAGACGTGGCCTGTGAGTTTGATGGAGTGAAGCCAGACAACACAATCTGGAAATCACGATTTCTATTTGATGATATTCTACAAGAAATCCCTAGGACCTTTCCATTTTCAGACTCCTCCGTGGGAAGATTCATTAAGATCACTAAAAATGGTGAAAGGCTTAAAATGTATGAAGTTGAAGTATATGTTGAGAATGAAGACTGTGGATGTGAACCAGTCTAAACATAAGGATTCATAATAAGGTGGGCTGACTGGATAACACTTGGACCTAGTCATTGGGCAAAATTTCATTTTCAGGTGGTTTCTAAAGGTCTAATGGCGAGGCAAGAGGGAGTTTAAGCTTGCAATGTTTTTCACAAACTAAACGTGAACGGAAAATATTTTAGCGATGCATTCGTCATACGTATAGGTTGGCGTTTTGATTTTATATGCAAGCTTAAACTCCCTAATATGTGAATAAGTGAGTGAGAAGTACAGGGTGTCTCTGAACACTTTACACAGATTTTGTGTTGTAATTTTAAACAGACTCTATGGACAACCTGTATATGTGATGGAAACAATATACAGGCAACATTTCATTACATGTATATTCAAAATTATTTATTCAATATCTTATATATTGATATACAGTATTGTAAGTCATAATTCGGGAAAGCCTGTAAGATTTACATAAATGTTATAACATACATGTACTATTGTACTTAATAAGTAGTCACTGTGTTATGTTAGAATACAATACAAAACAATGTGTGTAAATCAGCTAATGTGTATCGATCATTAAAAAATCACAAATTTTTAGCATGGTGAGAGACACATTCCACATACATAGACAAACTATATATATACATGTATGTGCATAAATAAAGTGTGATGTAAATGAATTGATAAAATTAGACTCCATGGTAACCATCTCCATACAGTTAGGCAACGATGTGTTTCACCATGAATCAATTCAACATGGAAGTACAGAATACACCAACATTTGAAATAGGATCAATTAAAAGTTTAAACATTTTTTCGCAAACTAAAATGCACAAGTCTCATTCAACATATAATTACATGGAATGCTTATTTAAGTATGAGGAATATACTGAATGAAGCTATAGAGGAAAGGAATAGTGTCAGTGGAACACATCACTGCCCCATTGCATTGAGTGGGTCATCAAATATACTAGGAGCATCATTGTTCATAATGTCTTTGTCTTTCACCGTCTTCTTCTTTGTTTTCTTTGTCTTTGTTTTTGTAGAACTTGCTGCACTTGCAAATATATCATCCACTGAAAAAACAGTGAATATTTTGTATTTTCACATTTCAGGTAAGTTCACCATAAAAATTTATTATTCCAAAATGATTTAAATGAAATCAAGATCATACAGACCAGACTGGGATATACCCTACTGATATGTACTAGTTTAGTTTTTTATCCTTTTTATAAAAGGTTGAACATATTACTTTTGAAACAGAATGGTAAATCTAGCAAGCATTGTGAAGGTCATATATAAAATCAGATCAGATATAGATATAAACTTGTTAAAATGGTTTGAAAAAATTGGTCCAATTCAAAGCAAATAAAAATTTGTGATTTATAACATCTCCATTATTTTACCATATCAAACTACATGTAAATATTCATCTCAACTTCATTCAGTTTCAGACTTTACCATTATGATTGGTTCATGAAACAAAATGACGGAAATATACCACCTTGAAACTAAAAACCAAAATCTACTTTAATATTACTGTATTACCTGTATCATCAATTGCCGGTTTATCAGTTGCGACAGTCTTTTTCTTTTTCTTCTTCTCTTTTGGCTTTATGGTAGGAATGTCAGCGAATATGTCTGTGTCGTCTTGGAATAAATCTTCATCTTTTGTGACTGGGTTTGTTTTCTTTTTCTTCTCCATGGTTGGGGTAGAGTCAAATATATCATCATTCTGAAATAATGTGCAGTAAATTTATGCATTGCTTCAAATGAATCCTGGTATACATTATGTAGTTGTATTCACTGATAGACTGGACATCTGAATATGAGAAAACTAAAAAAACAGCAACTCCCGGAGTAGCAAATCCCAATGAACAAAATATATTTTATCAAATTACTCTTTTTAAATATTTCGTGATATAAATAACCATGAAGTAGAAGAGTAGTATTGTTTCCCTTTGGTAAACAAAAATGACACCATATATCACAAATTCCTTCTCTAGCAGAGGTCCTATGCCTGAAGCCTAACAATTTTGAACCAAATCTGATAACTGGTATTTGAGATATCAGATATCATATCAAGGGTGTCCTCTTAAAAAAGGTGGCCATTTTAAATGTAAAAGTCAGTTTGAAAATTCCTTCTTAAGCAGAGGTCTCATTCATGTAAGACATTAGCCTATAAAATTTGGACATATCCTATACCGGTATCTCAGATATCAAAAATTACATTTTTCATGGAAATGGTGAAATGTTGACTGTCAACAATGAATATTAACCCTTAAACGGTGTTATGCCATCAATGTTTTTTACATTTTATTTATTGCATAAAAATGCAGAAATTAAAAATGATGAGAAGTAGAAAGATACATTTGCGAAGATGCATAGCAAACAGTTCAATAATTTAGATGAGCAATAAATACTTACAATGGGTTTTACAAATGATATGTACATATGGAGACGAGAAGGAAAATACATTCAAACAATGTATTCTAATAAATCACCTCGTATATAAATATTATGAAACAAAATCGATAGATTAAAGAACATCATCTTTGCAGGACTTCACTGCATTTGACCGAAGAGAGGCGAGTGAATGAAGATGAAAAAGCATACTGTTAAAGGCATACTCTACAAATTGTTAATCTGTACATTTTTGTCCCCATGATAAATGAGGGGTGATAATAATTCTCTAAACTCAGATTTTGTTTTTCAATATTCTTAATTGAAATTTTCAAAGTATGTCCAATTAATGGACCAAAATATTCAGTATTGTGTCAATATTTTATTGGAAATCATTGCCATAGTAACCAACAAAAATCAAGGAACATGGGGCAAATAAAAAACTTGTGAGGAAGGCCCTATAATAACTTATCTCTTAAGCTATCATCCGCATTAAAATGTTAAACTATATATGCTGTTAAGTGTTATCTAACAATGGTCATTGAATAGTGTGATGTCACATTTCCTTGTTCTCAATCGATAAGGAGCTCCGGGAGGTAAAGCACATCTTTATATCATCACAGTGTAATTGCAAGTATCTGCTTGATGTTAAGCGATTTAATTAATGAGGCATGTAAAGTTAAAATTTATGTTTTTGGTTCCGAGCAAATTAACTTTAACTGAACACTGTCAACATCTAATCAACACACCTCTTGCTAGAATCATGTATCTGAAAGTATTGTTAGTAGTATTCCTCATTGGACATGTTCATTCACAGAGAAAAGCTAAGAAGATTGATGCATGCAAGAAAACGCATATTGACAACCTTGATACACGCTTGAGCACACAGATAAGGGATCTAAAATCTGAAACACAAAATTGCTGCACCACAAATGAAGAACAAATAAATGCAGTAAATGATAAAGTGGAAGAAGTAAATGATAAAGTGAAAGAAGTAAATGATAAAGTAGAAGAAGTAAATGATAAAGTTGATGAGATGAAAGCTGATATTGCTCTTATAAAAGATCACTTGAAAAGAATACAGATAGTAAAGTCAGGTAAATCTTAGATTCATTTAATTTCGCGAATTTTGAGAAAAACGATTAAGCTAATTTTAAATTCTCATTATTCTCTGAATCCTCATGCTCTGTAATAAAAGTTACCTCATATACAGGAAGTGCCCCTACCTAATGTCATCTTTGTCAATGGCACGCTGCACCTTAACCTCTATTAGATGTCATTTTGGGGGTTTATTTGATCTTATAAGCCACTGTAACAGACATTGTTAATTAGAATGTCATTTATCGCCTGATAACAGTGGACAAACGTCTTATAAAACACGAAAGGCAATGGAGTCCCAGGTAATGAAAGATTTTGCAAATTCCCGGGGATTTAGTTGACAATTTCGCGAAGATTAATATTCGCGCTTTACCACAATTGCGAAAAGCACGAAACTAAATGGCACGCGAAAAATACAGTATCAGATCATCTGAGTGATAACTAGTTGACTTATAAATAGGTTTAAAGGGTTATGTAAAACTTCCCGTATAAAAACAATATGGCGGGTCCAAACGAGTATGCTGGAACCGCATATTTTTAGGAAATTAGGGGAGATTGGTGAATTCCAGTTTAAGATTAAACAATCCATCAAAATCAAACTAATATCATCATAAAATTGATAGGTAATTCAAAATATCATTTTTTCCCATTAAACACAAATAGAAGATCCTAAAACTTCAACAATAAAAGGTGAAATTGGTTTGTCAAAATAAAATTTCCCTTGTATAAATTCACACTACCTTACCAAGTGACAATGTTTAAAAGGGATACAGGGTACAGTTAAGTTGCAAATGGAGGATGTAGGTTTATTTCCATATTTCTGGACGTAAAATACATTTTACATTTATTCCTGGTGTTCTACCAGACACAAAATAGATTCATCAGGCAGTTTGTAAAATATTGTTAGCTAAAACCCCATATAGGCAAAGATAGAGAATAGTGGGCACAGTAAAGTAAAGATTGAAGGTAATACAAGATACATTTTAGTAAATTCATTAATGTACAGGGAGCGTGTAAGTTTCACTTTGAATATGTTACTTATTTTGACATTAATTAAGGAATAAACTGTTAACTGTTATTTATACTGCATGTCATTGTGTTAGATGTAGATACGTTTTCTAGTTTGTTATTCAACTGTATTTTAAGAAATTAATTGTTTTTATAAAATTTTAAGATGAATAAAAAGTGCCAGAAATGTGCTTTTTCTTTATTCAAATTCACTGTTACAGTGACCCATACTCACACATAGTTATTTCACCGTTTTTGGCAAGCATTTCCACATGGCATTTGATATATTCTAATGACGACCCTTGTAAGCATTCGTGCATCAATGTAATACAACGAAACATCCAATGTTATCAAAATGTGATGTGAAACTTTTTGTTTTAATTTCAAAATATTGATTTTTGAAGGAACTTTTGTTGGAAAAATCTTGAATATATTTAAAACTTAAATTTATAGGTCACACATATTTTTAATAAGCCATAATTCACACCAATACATAGCATTCATTATCACAGATTTTTATCGAAAATCTTTTAAAAATTGGTTGATAAATAAGCAAGAAATGAACTCATCCATGCATAAAATTTTAGTTTTCATAGAAACCAATGGTACTGTTATATTCAAAACATAATATATTCTTTTCAACCTAGTTAGACAATCAAAATGGTTTATTTTGAAAGCTTAGAATATTTAGAAAAAAAATATATAGAGATTTTTTTTCATTTTTTAAGATTGTTGCACCCTAGGTGACATCATGATGATGTCACTTAGGATGATGATGTCACTTTGGGTGCAGAATATTTTAATATGCTAAAACATTTAAGTGTAGTTTTTAATTATGGCTTCAAACATATAGCGTCCTCTAGGATAGTTTAGTTAGTGCTTTGTAGTTTAGATATGTAGTCTACCATAGTTCTGACTAATGTAATTATGTTATGATACTATATGTCAATAAAAAAGTTATATATCATAAGTGGCACATTAGGTACGACATTTTATTATTGAAATAGTGTGTCCTTTGTTCAATCTTTGCAATGGTTTTAAAATGATAATGTGGTTTTCGCTGTATAGTGGAATATTTGATGATTAAAAAATTTGAACTTTTTGGATACATGAGAAATAAAAACAAGGCATTAACATGACAAAATGTCACCACCTAGTTGCTCACAATATTATGAGTTCAAACTTAAGTCAGATTTGAATTTCTGAGAACTTGTAAAGTCAAATTTGAACTTCTGAAAAGATGTAGATGATTTTGAAAAAAAAATTTGGTCAATTTGAAGCAAGTTGAAAACAGACCTTTTTGACCTTTTTTGACCTTGAGAAGGTCATTAAAGGTCAAATCTAAAGTCAGATTTGAATTTCTGAGAACATGTAGATGATTTTGAAAAAAAAATTTAGTCAATTTGAAGCAAGTTGAAAAAAGACCTTTTTGACCTTTTTTGACCTTGAGAAGGTCATTGAAGGTCAAATGTCAAATCTAAAGTCAAATCTAAAGTCATATTTGAATTTCTGAGAACATGTAGATGATTTTGAAAAAAAATTTAGTCAATTTGAAGCAAGATGAAAAAATACCTTTTTGACCTTTTTGACATTGAGAAGGTCATTGAAGGTCAAATGTCAAATCTAAAGTCAGATTTGAGTTTCTGAGAACATGTAGATGATTTTGAAAAAAAAATTTAGTCAATTTGAAGCAAGTTGAAAAAAGACCTTTTTGACCTTTTTTGACTTTGAGAAGGTCATTGAAGGTCAAATGTCAAATCTTAAGTCAGATTTGAATTTCTGAGAACATGTAGATGATTTTGAAAAAAAATTTAGTCAATTTGAAGCAAGATGAAAAAAGACCTTTTTGACCTTTTTTGACTTTGAGAAGGTCATTGAAGGTCAAATGTCAAATCTTAAGTCAAATCTAAAGTCAGATTTGAATTTCTGAGAACACGTAGATGATTTTGAAAATTTTTTTTAGTCAATTTGAAGCAAGTTGAAAACAGACCTTTTTGACCTTTTTTGACCTTGAGAAGGTCATTGAAGGTCAAATGTCAAATCTTAAGTCAAATCTTAAGTCAGATTTGAATTTCTGAGAACACGTAGATGATTTTGAAAAAAATTTTTAGTCAATTTGAAGCAAGTTGAAAACAGACCTTTTTGACCTTTTTTGACCTTGAGAAGGTCATTGAAGGTCAAATGTCAAATCTAAAGTCAGATTTGAAGGTCAAATGTCAAATGTAAAGTCAGATTTGAATTTCTGAGAACATGTAGATGATTTTGAAAAAAAATTTAGTCAATGTGAAGCAAGTTGAAAAAAGACCTTTTTGACCTTGAGAAGGTCATTGAAGGTCAAATGTCAAATCTAAAGTCAGATTTGAACTTCTGAGAACATGTAGATGATTTAGAAAAAAATTGAAGTCAGTCTAAACAGTATTTGTTAAGTTATAGGAAGTTGTAAGAAATTGTTACAGACGCCGGACGCCAACCGCCGGACGCCAACCGCCAACCACCAACCGCCGGACGCCGTCGCAAAAAAAACGGAGACCATAACAATATGTCACCACTTTTGGTGGTGACATAAAAACTGACAACTTTGTTTTGAAATAAATTTTATTTTTGAAAATCTCTAAAATAACTTTATAGAGTCATGAAAAATAGTAAATGACTGATAGAAACATATTTTCAAACTTTGCATGGGCCTTTACATCATGAAAATGATATTTGGAGATTAAACGACATTTTCAAAAATTACATGTCGCTTCTAATTTATTCCAGTACCTTTGCCAGGTGACTGTGGTGATGAAACAAGCTTTACTGGTATTAGAACAATCCAACCAAAGGGACAAGACCCATTCAAAGTATACTGTAGTGGTGGGTGTGTCTACATGGCAAGACGCTTTGATGGGAGTGTTGATTTTTACAGAAGCTGGGTCGAGTATCAAAGAGGATTTGGAAGCCCTCTATGTGAACACTTCATTGGCCTGGACAACCTTCATGGTTTACTAAATCAAGGAAACTCATACAAACTCAGAGTTGAACTTACCATGTGGCCCCCACAGAGTGAAACACGTCATGCTGAATACTCTGTATTTGATGTGAGTGATGAACGTGATAACTACAAACTAACAATTGGAGGATATAGTGGAGATGCAGGGGACTGTCTTGCATACCACGATGGTATGGCATTTAGTACAAAAGACCGTGATCACGATAAAACGACATACAATTGTGCTGTTGAGTACAAAGGGGCTTGGTGGTATCGTGGGTGCCACGATGCAAATCTGTTCGGTTATTATAGTAGTAATGCTAAGTGTCCTGCTAATAGTGAGTGTGTGTCATGGCACAAATGGCCTAACAAAATTGGCTCACCTAACAATAACTATTATTCTTTTAAAAAGATTGACATGAAAGTTTGTCCAAAATAAGAGTATCCTCCATATTCTAATATGCTACACAATGTCATATTCATCATACAGATGTGCTTGGCAGCATATTTTGTTATTGTATTACTTAGAAATGTTAGAAATTAAGACAACTAAACAAAAACAAAAAACTTGAATTGGGGCTAAGGGGAAGGGGAACATATTAGAGTGATAAATGACGAATTTGTTTAAGACCTTAAAATCTACTTATATTAAGAAATATACAGATTGAGAAGCTGTTCATATTACAATCAAAACAATTTGACTTTGATTGTGTGATTTATATTATTCTGACCATTTTATGCCACTTCAGTTGTGAGAATTTTTTCTACCTACTGCCATTTTGGTCTTTTTTAAATTACCACAAAACTCAGTGGTCATATATTAACTATAATTGATATTAATAAACAAAATAAAAAAATATATTGGCCTGATTATACTCCTTGCCTTTCAATTTTTACCATCACTAATGAGTCATATATGAAAAATGGACTAATTCATCAAATCCCAACAAGTAACTTATGAGTTTCAGAGAGGAGAAATCATTTCTCAAAATAGCCGTCATAGATGTATTAGATGTACAAAAGATAAAGTGTCATTCTTGAATGTGTCCACATAAAATATTAAAAAATCAGTTGATGATCAGTTTTTAAGTAATAACAAAAAGGCAAAACAACACAAATTAATATGGCTTCCATTTTTCAAAATGGCCAACTTATTGAGCAATAGAGACAATGTCTCTTGCTTCCAAATTTTTTAGATAGAAAATATCAAACAAATCACAGGAATTCTTTTTCAAAATGGCCAACTATTAAGCGAAATGCAAAATATCAGAGAAATTGCAGACATATGAAAAGATCCTTTTTGAACAGAGGTCCCAAGGCCATAAGACATTAGCCTATAAAAGGTCCATGTGCAGTATGGCAAGTGATTTTAGACAGTCATATCTTTCACTATGAGTACTTTCTGGACATAAATACGATGGTTTTTATTAATATTTCTTTCAAGTGAAGTCCCCATGATAATAAAAATATCAAGATATCAATTTTCAATGACCAAAATCATGCTGAAAACAATAGATAGCATGAGTTTTCCCTATGGGAAAATAACATAGAAATGTGGTTTTTAACTTAATCACATTTCAATACCCATCCCCTTTTCAGAAGTTATTAATATAGTGTAGAAGAAACTTTTGATACATTTAAATTAAGAAAAACAAGATCCTTTTTTTTAGAAAACAAGCCTTACATTTTTAAAGAAGTGACAAGGTGGGGTCCTAATCCATCATTTTTCAGAGAGTTGGATTGATATTTTACTATCACAGGGACTTCATTTTAAAGAAAACATATTGTTTTAATAAAAACCACTGTATGTATGCCCAGAAAGTACTCATGGTGAAAGATATGACTGTCTAAAATCACTTGCCATACTGCACATGGACCTTTGTACTAAATTCTATAAATGATATTGAAATATTACATTATTTATGAAAAATGGTAGCCATATTGAAAATTTCTTCAGAGCTTCTTTGTCCCTTAGACATCAGCAACCAAATCAATCAACTAGTATTAAAGTTATCAAAATTTACATGTATATTACAAAAAATGGTGGCTTTTTTAAGTTGAGCAGTCATATTGAAAATTCCTTCTCGAACAGAGGTCCTATGCATTAGCTATTAGGCTAATCTGAACCAAATATCTCGCCCGATAAAAGGGCCGATATTTGTGTTATTGCCCAGACACACAAACGACGCCAAATGCCATCCACAAAACGTTGACCAACTATTCTTTAAAAATTAGAGCACTTTTTTAATAAAACTACATGAAATACTTTCCAGCTAAAACAAATAATCAACTCAAATTATAATGATCCAATAATGATATTATGTCTTATTATGCACCTCATTAAAATACTCAAATCTGATTGGTTCTAAGTTGCTTGTAATTTGGCAATACTCTGCTCTTTTCTGAAAACTGCCGGATATTTTTTTAATATCTGACCCTTTCGAGAAAAAGGGTCGGATATTTTTTTCAATGTTTTTGCAACATTCCCACTTCAGAGTTTTATTTCTTAATAACTGGAGTACTACTTAAAGCTTACATCTGAAACTGGCGGAAAATAGAAGAAAAAAATGTACTTAATCAATCACAATTACCCTTATCATTCAAAAGTTACATATAATTCTGCAAGAACGTCTCGAATAAATAAAAAATAAATTCCCGGGGCAAATATTTTCGTCCAGTGTAGCGAATAAACTGGCCGGAAGTCGTCTGAGTTTTGAAAGAAAAAATAAATAAATGTCAAAATAATGTCAACTAAACGACAGTTAAAGCCTGCACTCCAGTAAGTACTCCACTTAACTTTGATTGGGAGGTGCATAATAAAACAAATACTGGATGATCAGGAGCTGGATATGGCCAGAATACCTATCCTCGAAAAAATATTGGGCTCGGCTGCCGCCTCGCCCAATATTTTTTCTCGAATAGGTATTCTGCCATATCCAGCTCCTGATCATCCAGTATTTGTTTATTATCATTCTATCTGTAAACAAAAATGACCAATTAATGGCACTTGCTATAGTGGACAGGCAACCAATATGCATTGTCAGACAAATCAGCAATTGTAATGTAGGTGCATATGCATGAATTATTTGAAAGATATGGAGCCTTTGAATAAATCCAAGCCTTTCTATTTTATCTGTTTCAAATATTGAATTATTCTTCATTGAATACTCACCACTTCTTCTTTGACTGCTTTTTTCTTCTTTTCTTTCTTAACATTAACACTGGCATCTGCAAACAGGTCATCATCCTCCACTACCAAAGCCTTCTTCTTGGGCTTCTTCTCAGGCACTGGCTCACTATTGAACATGTCATCATCATCCATTGGAGGGGGTTCCCTAGCAAAGATGTCTGGGGTATCACTTTTTGTATTAGATGGGGTCGAAAATATATCATCATCAATTGTTGTTTTGTTAGGGGTAAAATCTATATCTGGGGGTGGCTCTCGTGAGAATGGATCTGAAATGTCCGTGCCTAGCTTATCTGGCGGTGTAGAGGCGAAAATGTCATTTTCTTCGGATTTATTTTTAGTGTTTGTAACTGTTGTTTTTATTGCACTAGTGTTTGATTGTGTTGTGTCACTTAATGATTCCAATGGTGGTAACCCTGAGGATGAAGAGGGAGGTTTTGCACTGGAAGTGTCCGTATCTCCAAATAAGGCATCTGTCGGTGAGGAAGAAGAGGGAGGGGCTATATTTGTAGGTGAAGTAACTGCCACATTTGCACCCAATTGGTCAGTATTTTGAAGTCGAGCGCGTCTTGTTGGTGGTCGACGTTTTTGGGTGATTTTGGCACGATCCTGAAGTATAAATGTAAAATTTTTGATATCAACAGATCAAATATATATTTCTTAATATGTAGTGTATTTCTAAAAACCTAGTATTTAATTTCATTTAATTAGGTATCTACTTACTTAGGGCATACTGAATAAATCTAATGTAACTGCTTACATCTTAAACTGTAAATATCTAAGGAGTACCTTATTAGCACTATGTAAAGTTTTCACTTCTGCAGGTTTGTCAAAGCCAGCCACTGATGGAGTGGGTTCTTGTACAGGTGGCGCTGCTCCAGGTAATAAAGCAGATGGATTGATGTTCAATCCAGCCTAAAATGAGAATTTTTTGAAAGGTGGTTGGAAAAGCTCATAGGAGAAAGGTAGTTATTTAAACAGGCAAGAGAGAGCTATTTTCCTATGAACATCATTAAACTTCTTCTAGATTGAAAAGGAGATAACAACAGTTTGAATTATTCAATTTAATGATAATAAGACGACAGCCATTACCTGTAGCTTGCCTATTCCTAGCTTTGGTGGACTGACAGATTTGAAGGCTGGTTTGTCTTGCTGTCCAGTTCCACCAAATGGTGTAGGCCCATCTCTTACAGATGGTTTGGTTGACCCAGTAGCTTTGGGTGGCGACAATCCAAATGGATCAGTGACATCTTTAGGTGGACTTCCAAACAAAGGATCTGAAAATAATGTATTACATATAAAAAAATAATATTATAGTCATTTGATTTAGATACACTCACTCACTAGAGCAGTGAACATGCTACACAGCAATAATAATTTGTTAACACATGTCTACTGAAGCAAGGTGTTTATCAAGTGCAACTACTTTCAAATCTCACTTGACATGGAGAGATATAACCTCAATGATATTCTGGATGTATATGACATATTTTGCATATTGCAAATCGTTCAACATTTTCAATTATTGCTATAACTAAGTTGCACAGCATTACCTTTTTGAGGAGTCACAGCTGGAGTTGCTTCTTTCTTGACTTCTGCTTCCTCTTCCTCATCTACAACCTTTTTCTTAAGGGCAGATGGATCAAACGCACCAAACATGGAGACCCCACCAACAGGCTTCTTTGGTTTCTTCTCCACTGGTTCCTGAAACAGAAGAATCTCAAAATATTAGGTTCATTCATTGGTTAGTTCACTTGCTTTTGCCTCTCATCTTCGCACGCTCCAGTCTTCACAGTGGGAGCCGCGTGAACGAAGATGCTTGCCTCTAGGTGTAGTTGAATCATAATGTGTTTGCATCTTGATTCATATTAAGTTATTAGAGAACGAATTGGGCACAATTGCATTTGATGAATAACTGAGGTGTTGTAAACTTGAGTCAGGGCATTCTGATTTATCAGAGTCCCTCTTTATCTAAAGATTTGAGACTACATGGGATAGTGCAGGTAGTCAATTCCATAATGTACCCAGTGAGATCTGATGGTTTTAGTTGACTTGCATGGCAAATATCCCATTTGACAATCTGTAACATGACATGCTCAGCAAACATTGTATCTATTGGACCACTTACTGATCTATTGCTGTCCTTGGTTTAGGTTAACATCAAACACTAGAGATATATGCAGTATAAAGAGAGCACAGTGAGATTTTTATTTGGATGTTTTAGCTCAAATAACTTTATTTGAGCATTACATCAAAATAGAAAGGGTTTTTATACTATCAAATAATAAAGAGTCGAGATGCATGCAAGAAGGTTTTACTAGTACATGTACATTGTACATAAAAAAATAAAAGAGATGAGATGCTTACCTTTGGTTTAGAAGCAAACAGATCTTCATCATTATCATCAACACCTCCACCAAAGAGATCATCACTTTTGGTTGGCTTCTCTTCCACTTTCTCAATCTTACTGGGTCTAGGTGTTACCTTGGATATAGGCTACAAGACAGGCAAAAATGCATAAATATTGATACATCACACATTAATGCCAGACAAGAGTCAAATAAGCATTGATCTTGGTCTACTAATACAGGTAGACCGTTATGAAAATAACATGGTAAAATAATTTACATGAGACCTATGGGATCTAACCTCCCTACCACTGATTGGAATATTATTTCAGAACAGCTAGACCCAGAATATTTATATTCCATCAAAGACCAATTTTTTGTTGTTTTGTTAACCAAATTGTGTCAGTAAACAAAATGAGAGTAGTTTTTGGTCAAACTTAAGCCAAAAATGTTTTTGTCTCCGATCTTCAGGTCCAGGAAGATTATGTTAAGAAAGATCTAAAAGATTACAATTTGAGTCATTTTACCACTTATCAATCTTCTCATTCTCGTATATTTGCTTAAAATATACATCTGAAAGAAATGCATGATTTTTGCATAGGACTTTTGGATTGATTGATTGATTGTTTAATTGTTTGGCTGGTTGGGTTAGAAAAGGGTACAAGAAAGGATTCAATTGTGTCGGAAAGGTTACCTTATACTATTATATACTATTATGTAGGTATGTTCAGAAAGAGCTGTGTTCGTACAAACATACTATGTGTGGCATGAGACAATAGAGACATACATACCTTCTGTGGGACAGAACTAGACCTAAACAGACTACTGCCTTTAGTTTTTGACCCAGTGCCAAACAGATCATCATCGTCGTCATCATCTACACCCGCAAACAGATCAGTGTTGCTTGATGATACAGTGGCGCCACCTAGCTTTAGTGAATTGGTCCTACTAGGGGGAGCCAGTGATGTATTGGTTGGAGGGAAGGGTTTGGAATCAGGCTGTAGTGAGAGAGAAGGGTAAGGTCAAGTGTAGGTGTACAGTTCATACTATAGCATATGTGCACTTAAAATAAAAAACAAAAATGGTAGTTCTCAAATGGTTTAATTGACTAAATTGTTTTATTTATTCTTGTATCAAACCCCTGTGAATCCCGTTCTTTCGCTGTAATTTTAAAAAGAGGGGGAGTTGTCATAGAAGTTATGCAAGACTAAATGCACAATTGGAGGCTTGTGTAATTTGTGCTATTTAATGAAGTAATTCATAAGCATTCTTAAAGGCAGGGTATTGACGTGTAGCATAATCACAAGTAATAAAATAACAATTTTTGATATCCTTGAAGAGATAAAAAATATGTCAAGCAAAGTTGAATATAAGAATGTAATATTTCACTTGTAAGAACATTAACCGATTGTTTTATCATAGCTCATATTATAACACTAAAATGATCACTGAAGTGCAAAAAGGTGTTTTTTGAAAGTATTGGTGACCTACCTTGGTTGGACTTGCCAGTGGACTGGTTGAACCAAACAGGTCAACATTGGGATCAGCCTCATCTCTACCAAACAGAATGTCTTCATCTTCAAAGACACTCTTGGTTCGTGTTCTCTGTTTCTGAGGCTCCTAGAATATAATATCCATTTTAAATTAATTTATACATTGATGAGTAAATATAATAAATACATAAGTATATTTTTCTCTGAGTTTTTGACCATTCATGCTTTAAACAAGTACATTTTTACAATATTGCCAAACTGGTGTATCATGATTTTTGTCTGAACTGAGTTTCGCTTTTTAAACACTTAAGATGGGGGTTGGGATTATGAGTTAAAATATGGCATATTTCTAAACAAGAGACCCTATTTATGTAAATATTGATTAAATCTTATTAAAATGCAACAATCTACAGACCCCTTTTTAAAATATAAGTGGCGATATAACTACCTTAACCTCTGTTTTTGGAGTGGTCTCCTTAGTAACAGCTGGCTTTGGTTTAGATGTTGCGAAAAGATCTCCTTTATCTTCTTCATCATCATCAAACATTGATACAGTGTTTGACCTCTTTTTCTCTAGCTTAGGCTCTGGCTTAACATCTGGTTTGACATCCTCTTTGGGCTTAATTGAACCAAACAGATCAGCACCACCAAACAGTGAAACACCACCAGGAGGTTTCTTTTTACCACTGCAAATCATATACATTATATCAATTACAGTATAACATGTAAATCTGAACATCTCTCAATGTGTTAACTCAGTCTCTCAGTCCCAATTTGAGTCCCATATTTAAATAAAAAACATTCAAATGTGAGCACCTGCTTATTCAAAGACTTTTGGCCAGTCAGAATAGTGCACATATAAGCAAAAGTCATATGTCCCCGAGGCATCAGTATATTTCAAAACAAATCCAACAACTGGTATTTGAGTTATCAAAGATGCGTTCTTTCCAAAAAAGCCTGGCAATTTGAATTAAGAAGCCATGATGACAATTTAATCTCAACCAGGGGTCCTATGCCTATAACACAATAGCCTATGAAAGGCCTACTTCAGACTGCTTCTAATCAAATTGTCCGACTATCCACACATTTTTACCACTGTCACTTAATGAAATCAAAATAAACCCAAAGCAATAATATAATTCTTTCATGGTCACATCTAACACCATCAGAGTAATATTCTATAACTTACCTGTCTTTGGGTTTTGCTGCTGTAGCAAACAAATCATCTTCATCCTCATCAGCGTCACCTCCAAACAGATCACCACTTACTTTAGGTTTGGAGACAGGGGCAGTCTGAAAATATTAATAATCAATATTACAACTGGTTACAAGTTCTGAATGATTTCTGAATTCTTGGTATATAAGTCAAGACAGAAACCAACAGGGCAAACAAGGGTATAACAACATGACAAAATGTAACTACCTGGTAAGTTATTGCAAATGAGTAACAATTTGTTACAATCACTGAACGTTGGTCAGAGAGGCATTCTACCATCCAAATAATAAGCTGATGACAATACATGCATGTCAAATGTTCTTCGTGGTGACATTACAAAATAGAAATACATTGTATTACCTTTGTTTGTGGCTTGGCTGGTTTACTGGTTGTAGTAGAGGGGGAGAAGAGATCCTCGTCATCGTCATCAAATAAACCACTCCCACCAGATGTAGCCTTGGGCTTGCTTGAACAACACACAAAAATGAGATTTACTTCTAACTACAAATATTCTACAACCCATCGGGACCAAACATTGTCGGCAGAAACAACAGATGCAATATTAGCTTTATTCAATACCGATGACACTTCTAAAGGAAATCTATTCTGTATACGACTTACTAAGATTTTGGCCCACCTAATTGCATTTAAGCCTTTGTTATTAGGAATTTGTTATACAAATTACAACCACTGACTGGCAGACACATCAAGAAGTGGAAACAAAAAAAATTAAACATCAAAACATTTGAAATGGTGACATAATAATAAACAAGGCATTAACATGCAAATGTCACCACCTACCATTTGTTACAGATGCCGCACACTGACCATCAAACACGAACAACCGAACACCATCCACAAAAAAGTTGGAGACTATAACACTATGTCACCACACTCGTGGTGGTGACATAAAAATGATATTGACCCTCTGCACATGATGAGATTCGGTCTTTTAAATGCTTTCAGGCAATTTTTCAATCTTAAGGCAGTTTCCTTTATTCCATTTTTGCTTAGTGGTTTCACATCAAACTCATCATCAATGCTCCCTGTATCATTTCCATAAGCCTTAACATTGTAGCAATATGAAGTATTGTTAAATTCAGTATTGTTAGTATTGTTAAATATAGTATTGTTAAGGCATTCTTCAACAGTCCTGCATTTATCTATAAAATCTGTATTGATTTTCCGATACATGTTTGTTTTGTTTAGTTTTGAATTTTTTTTTATTACATTTTTGATAAATCTTATTTTTTAAACTCTTTAGTGTATGTAGAGTGAGAGTTCAAGATTAGTTTCCACTCTTCCACATTTTTATTCATAGTTTCAGTATCTCTTATGTCAATTTATAATGTTTAAAAGTCAGGATTTATGTGTTAAAAGTCAATCTTTATGAGTTATCAAAATCTAATCATGAATGCTAATCCCTTCAACGTTATGGTCAAATAAGAGGCACGAGTCAGATCACTTTTTATCAGGTGTTTTTCATTTAACACTTCAACGTAAATAAGTTGAACGAACATATGTAATAACAAGCGTTTAAACAGCTGTATGCTGGTAACACAAGGTCGAAAATTATTAAATATCATTTTGATAGTGGCATTGTAGACTATGTTATTCATGGAAATGGATCATAACTGACAGGTCATGCCAACCTTCCCCCAAAATATAGTCAAGAAATATTATGAAGTCAGCTTGATTTAAAGTGATAAAAGAGGTTTTCACAAATTGTAGGCAAAAATGACAACTTATGGGTCATTTTTTCTCTATACCCCTACTCTTAACTTATTCTGTGGGAAGGATAATTAAACTTGAAATTCAGATTCTAACCAGTCTTATAAGCCTACTTCTTTTTTCATCTTAATCTCAGTTCAATTCATATCATTCTGTGATAAAGCTTAATAGAGGAGGAGACTTAACGAAAATTTTTGCAAAACATCTTTCAATACTACGAGGCCCGTTCAGAAAGTAAGTAACTAACTGCTCATTTATTTCCATATAATAATCATAAAAAAATTCATTAAGTGATTTATAGCACTGTGCAGTACCAGACATATAAAATCTGCACTTAACTGGGAACAAAAGTAACATTACAAAATCTCTTCCGTTTGACATTCACATGTAAATATTCACTTTAAAACCTGTTACAAAAAGGTATTTCACATTTGTATTTTAATGGCACAAACGCATACAGCACAAACGGTAGCAGCTAATGAGGAGACGACTGGGATGACACTACCGCTACGTGAAGCAATGTGAGTCACATGTAGCAACATTCCTGCACTATATCGACAGTCTAATGTCAGACATGTGGATGCTGCCGGAGATTTATGATGACGAGACCTGTCGTAACCTTATACAACCTGTTGTGACCTTATTCAGTGATTGATTACCCAAATGATTCCCTTGCAATATGAATGTATGAGAATGAGAATGTATGAAGTTTGAAGTTGAATATGTATCTGAAATAAACACTTTTCTCTTGAACATTTCTATAAATAACAAACACCTCTTTGATGAGTTTCCCTGCATTCTAAATCTTAAGATGATTTACTCTATAATTAAACTTACCCAAACCCCTCTACAATAGACCCCCTTTTAAAATGATCTACCCTTTATAATAAACTCCTCTTTAGGTGAATATGCATTTTTAATGAATTATTCATTTGAATGAACATCTCTTTTCAATGAGTTCCTGTACATAGTGAATACCAATTACCCTTTAATAAGTAAATGCTTTTATTGCTGTTCTATAGAATGTCTGAGTCCCCACCATTTCTGGAAAAACATTTGTTCATGCAAAATAAGCATCTTTTTGTTGATTGCTTAAATTACTTCTTGTTATTAATGAAATGATTCTTGGGTGTATTTAAATAATAAAAATCATACATAATGAAATTAAAATATTCTAATTAAATTTCAACAGCTGAAGTATAATGAACGGTGGGAATACAATAAATACAGTCTGTGTTTTATTAGAGTAATTTTATGACCTAATAAAAATTGATGTTGTATAAACTTGTGAGAAACCAGTCTGTATTTTATAAGTTTATTGTTTTATGACCAGGTTTATTCTAAATGATGTAAGAAACCAGGTGTTGAAGTATCATGAGTAGGGGAGCAGTTCTACATGCATCAAAACTTATTCCATGATATGAATGTTCAGTTCTATCCCAACTGCCATAGACTTCCATGTTAAATAAATAGAACCATGGGTACTGGGCCCACATGGTGTAGTGATTTCAGTCTAGTTGACAGCCATATTAATTTCAAAACCTCATTGGTATTGCATACGAGAAAATACCTGTACATTGTAATGCATATCAAAGCAATAATTCTTGAACTTGTCTCCAAAATTTTTGTCCAGACTTTGAAAACTCAATGGTATTACGTATTTGGATATTTAATATAAAAGTGACCCTAATTTTGAGTCAAGACTTTAGAACCTTATTGTTACTTTATAAAAGAATATATTTGGATATTTAAATGCACTGATCAAACGTTAATTACTAAGTAATGGCTCCAAGTGATTTTTCTGTGACAAAAGAGGTGGCTATTTTTTGAAGAATTTTTGTTGACATAACACCTCATTGATAGCTCAAAAAATTTTCCATCAAAAATCGTGGCTATTTTGAAATAGGCGAGCTTTTGAATCTGAAGACATAGGGTGCTTTCTGATATTTATAATCAACAAAAGTAACCTAAAACTGGAATCATATCAACAAAGGTTTTAAAATGGTTTACTATTGCTGATAAACAAACAGACGGATGGACAAGTGAGCAATTGCAAAAGCTCTCCATGTGAGCTAATAAAAACCTTGAAATGTGAATACTTTTGACTGACTGGTCCCAATGGTGTTAAGCTCTGATTGTAGACTTTAGCTGGTTGTGTCAACTTCAAAGGAAATACTGAGATTTTCTTCAAGTTCTTATACTAGCAATCCTGTACAGACTATTGAATTTTTCAGGACAAGATATAGATACATTTAAAAGACTGAACATACATTTACCTTGCTTGTTTAACAGGGGGAGGTTTGGCAAATAAGTCATCTTCAGGTTCATTCTCAAACAGGCTGTTACTAGAGGCAGAAGGACTTGGGGATTCCTTGGTCCCAATTGGTTTTGTTCCATTGGGTTTTGTAAGAGAAGACCCAGATTTGATACTACTAGTTCTGCTTGCTGGTTTCTCATCATCTGACCAATCATCCTAAATAAAAAAACAAGTTATATGACCTTGTAATATAAATCATAGGTTCATACCACAAAGCATCCTTGAAACAACATCAGGAATGCAAAGTATAGAATGGATGGCTTAAAATTATAATTATAAAAATGGCCACCTCATAATTAACCTAGCAATCCTAAAATTAAAAAGTCTAAAAGAGTATTGGACGCCATATACATGCATACATACCTCATCTGAAGCATCTGAATCTTGCTTTCTCTGTGCTTTGATAGCAGCTGCTAGAGGGTTGGGAGCATTTCCAAACATGGATACTGCACCTGCGGGTAGCTGGAACACACAATATATATCAATGAAATATATCCATTTCAGGCCATGACAAGCATAGATTTTTCATGCTATAGACTGGGTTATGTAAAGGTAGTAAGAATTTATAGAATCTAACTCATGTATGATATCACTAATACAGTTTAAGGGAGAATACATGTAATATAATACAAGCTCTCTACAGTAATTTGGATACATTGTATATGTTGTAAAGTAGTAAAGTACTATTGCATATTGCGAAAAAGGATGGTTTTTAAAACCATTGGTACTTACTTTCTTTTTTGGTTTCTTCTTCTCTTTCTTCTCAGCATGAGGTGGTTGAGCAGTGTCAACTTCATCTTTAGGTTTAGTGCTCTCTTTCTTCACTGGCTCTGCTGTTGCGAACAGGTCCCCATCATCATCTTCATCATCATCATCAGCGAATAAATCAACCGTTTTCTTTTTGGCTGGTTCTATGGAAATACATAATGAATTTGCATTACACAATGTCACCAAGCGGAGATTTTAAAATCAGGTAGAGAGTGACTTAATAGATACTACCTCTTAAAATCCACTAGGCAGGAATTTCTTATTTTTGACCACAGTATAATGAATTTCTGCATCAATACCTTTCTTTTTTGGCTCAGGTTTCTTGGCAGGAACACTGGCGAAGAGGTCATCATCATCGTCATCATCAAAGATACCTCCACCAGAAGCCTTGGCTTTACTGGGGGCATCCATAGGTGGAGGCTTTTCTTTGTAGTCATCCTCATTATCACTGATTGCCTTGGCCTTTGATGGGAAGAGATCATCATCACCTGCTACAATACAAAGACAAGTAACAATAAAGACACTACTAGTAATACTACCTAATAATGATTACCAATGATCTCTATACTACAAGAGCAACTGTGTGTTGTGAAGATTTGAAAGGAATGTGCCACCTTGTTGAAAATCTCAGATATTTTAATATATTTAAAACATTTAGAATTTCTTAAAGGGGATTAATAAGCATCTGAGAACAATACTATTTTGAATATGTAAAGTACCTCCAAATATTGAAATTCCTCCAGCTGGTACCTTTTTACCACTTTTAGTTTTTGTTTGACTTTCCTTAGCTGCAAAAAACAAATTGGATATATTCAATACATATTTCCAATACATGTACAAATAATAGTTCTACGTTAAACATGTTATAGTAATGGAGAATAAGAATGAGCAATTTATTAACTATTACCCCTATCTGTTAAATCTTGTTTTTGTTTGTGGTTTAATTTTAACAATAGTTCTCAATTCAAATGGCAGTTTTCATTTGTCCAAAATTGATGACAGATAGACATTTGGGCAGATGTGAGCCAAAAACCCAGGAAGATTACTTCAAATACAAACTACAAGTACATTTATGTGTTCATATACAAACTACAAGTACATTTATGTGTTCATATACAAACTACAAGTACATTTATGTGTTCATATACAAACTACAAGTACATTTATGTGTTCATATACAAACTACAAGTACATTTATGTGTTCATATACAAACTACAAGTACATTTATGTGTTCATATACAAACTACAAGTACATTTATGTGTTCATATACAAACTACAAGTACATTTATGTGTTCATATACAAACTACAAGTACATTTATGTGTTCATATACAAACTACAAGTACATTTATGTGTTCATATACAAACTACAAGTACATTTATGTGTTCATATACAAACTACAAGTACATTTATGTGTTCATATACAAACTACAAGTACATTTATGTGTTCATATACAAACTACAAGTACATTTATGTGTTCATATACAAACTACAAGTACATTTATGTGTTCATATACAAACTACAAGTACATTTATGTGTTCATATACAAACTACAAGTACATTTATGTGTTCATATACAAACTACAAGTACATTTATGTGTTCATATACAAACTACAAGTACATTTATGAGTTCATATACAAACTACAAGTACATTTATGTGTTCATATACAAACTACAAGTACATTTATGTGTTCATATACAAACTACAAGTACATTTATGTGTTCATATACAAACTACAAGAACATTTATGTGGTCATTTACAAACTACAAGTACATTTATGTGTTCATATACAAACTAAAAGTACATTTATGTGTTCATATACAAACTACAAGTACATTTATGTGTTCATATACAAACTACAAGTACATTTATGAGTTCATATACATATGCACTACCTTTTGGTTTCTCTTGAACAACTTCATCTTCCTCCTCTGAACTCTCTTCTTCTTGTACCTTCTTGGTTTTCTTTGTAACTTTGGGCTCAATATCATCAAATAGACCTCCTCCCTGTAACAGACAATTTGTAGTTTATCAAGGATCAGGTTTAAAGCTGCTGTATGATATTACAACAATTTAGCACTTCGAAAAAATGAGATAAAAAGTGATAACTGGATAAAAGTACAAATCTTTTAATGCTAGTTTTGATGATTTCAGCATAGCTTACCCCAGTGTCATTATCATCATCAAATAGACCTGCACCAGTGTTACTGAACAGACCTCCTTTTGAGCTGAATGGATCATCATCTTCAGGGGCTCCAAACAAGTCATCTGAAAAACAATACATTGTATGGGCTTCATTTTAGTTTTTCACATTTATATACATAATTAAAACATTGTCCAAGCTTATCATCAATTAAACATTTCTAGTATTCATCAAAATATGTACACGAAAAATATTTGAACTGAATTTAATAGCAGTTGCGTGTAATTGAAAAAAATTGTGTACCATCTTGCTTGACTTCTTTTTTGCCTTTTTGCTTTGACTTTTCCTTCTTCACACTGTCAGCTCTTTTCTTCTTTTCTTTCTTTGTCTCTGCAATGTCAGACACAACATGATCGTTTCTTTATTTAAAAGTAAAACAATACAATTCTGGATCAGAACAATTTAAAATGAAAAAGTACATGTGAATGTATGCCTTACTTTTTCCTATTTCCTCTACTTTCTATTATATTCAGTTTAGTTTTGATAAATAAGTATTTACACAACACAATCATTTCTATAATCATATTCTATTAAAAGTTCATCTATCAGAGAGAATTTAAGAGCAATCTAAATCTATTGATTTATGGTGAAAATATTTCTTGATCAAAAAAGAAAATGAAGAAGTACATTTGAATGTATGACTTATTTTTGTCCTTTTTCTTTACTTTCTATGACTGTGAGTTTAGCAAATAAGTTGTTATTCAAATTAAACTTGTTCTAATGAATGACAGAATTAATCTTCTGGGAAGTTGTTTCAAATGAGTCTTGATGCTATAAAAATGGTATAAAACAAAAATAAAGTGACTCCTGAATAAGTAAAAATCATGCAAAAACATGAAAATATAAAAATGGAATGAAACAGTGAAAATAAATGCACACCTTTTGGAGGAGCCACTATCTCCTCTTCATCTTCTGATGAATCTGGCTGTTTTGATGGTAATTTCAATTTTGAAGCCAATTCACTTTGAAGTGTTGATTTCTGAAATTAGAGTATTTGAACATAATTAATATCTGTCAAGGACCAGTATGTTCATTAAATGTGAAACCTTTGAAAGCTTCTTCCTATCTAAATTAATAACAATGCAATATTAAGGAGGCAGTTAAAGCAGAACATTTTTTTGTTTTCAATTCATGTATTTGCAGAAATAAATCATTATCACAGACTCACTAAATTCTTTTTATGAATCCTCATCTAATAAACAAACAAAAAACAATCAAACAAACAAATGCTGGATACCTTTGGGGGTTCATCATCAAGTTCATCTTCACTGATTTCATCTGATGAAGTTCCAGCTCCAAACAGATCTTCTTTCTGTAAAAATGTTCCACAAATTTATGAATTCAGCCACTTATTTAACACACATACATACAATATTATTCAATTTAATTAGAAGTAGGAGGCGAAGTAGACATTAAATATGTTCTACTCAAATATGGAATCTTTGTTAGAACTATCAAATCTTGTCAGAATGTTTATATCATTAAGAAATACATGATTGATGTATACAATCACTCAAACCACTTTACATGCTTACAAGTACATACTTCATAAACATGCAGTTAAATGGCATTCCCTTTAAACTTTAATATGCAAGCCTTTTAGCTAAAAAAACTAGAAATGCTAAAACGTAACAGAAAAGTGTGCTTTACCTTATTCTCCTTAATCTCTTTAGGTTTAAACATATCCCCATCTTCATCAGAGTCTGTTTCTGAACCAGTTTCAGTTGTGTACTATAACATGCAACATACAACTAAACAACAGGAGGAAATACCCAGAATTCATAGATGAACCTAGAGTCTATGTAAATAAATATATGGAGATTGGTTTATCTATGAATTCTGGGGTATGCCCCCCTCTTCAACTCAAGCATGCATAAACTAGGCATTCACTTGTCGTCCTGCATCAGGCCATTGTTGCTGAATAGTATGCAAGACTAAGCTTAAACAAGGCACTAACAAAATAAAATGTGACGGCCTGGCTGGAATAACAAAACTGTAACAGTTTGTCACAGATGCTGAATTCTGAATGCCAGTTGCAAAAATATAGCTATAACAAAACAATATGTCCTTGGCGACATTTAAATCAAATAAAAAGATGCTAACAAAAATAAAATGTTTATACTATTCGCCGTTGTCATTCATGATAATTATCAAATCTCACATGCTCATACCTCTGATTCTGAGTCTGATACTGTAATACCAGGTTTAGTCTCTCCTATATCTGAATCTTCATCTTCAGTTTCACTGATACTGCCCTGGTCAGACTCGGACTCATCTTCTGCAAGCAACAATCATTTCATTCAATGTACAGTAAAACTTGTCTCATTTGGAATCCCACTGGGATGGGCCAAAAGTGTTTGTATTGGAAGGTTTCACATTTCAAGGTATTCTAATGTATTCAAAAATGTGACTGAAAAGGTGTTCACATTGAGAGGTGTTCACATTGAGAGGTGTTCATATTATAGAGATGTTTGGATATACAGTTTTTACCGTAATTCTAACTTTTTATTACATACAAACATTTATACATATTTTAGGAATGATTCAGTCAGGTCAGGTATTTCTCAAGGGGCAATGCAAAACTAGCTTTATATGAATAACATATGACACAAACATAATATCCCTTGTAAAATTAGTTCACCTGATAGAGATTCAACGAGTCCAACATTGTCATCTTGAGCAAATTGTGCTGAGCCAATCAAATAAGGTAGTGGTCTCGACAAGTACAAGTCCTGAAAAGTCAATAACTTAAAAATATGGCACATGGTAAAGTATCCTGACTAACTTTCATGTGTTTGTTCATAATTCAAATGTTTATGCTTTCCTGAAAATGCACATAGGACATTAAAATCTTCCAAGCATAAACATTTTAACTAATCAGTAACAAATGCTTATTTATTTACATTTCTCAAAAGTTGGCATTGATCTAGGTTTGGATGTGTTTCCTTACTATCATCATATACTTTTCATTTCTTTTATTATTGATAAACCAGGTTAGCATTTTGAAGGACTTTGTGTACTTTATATTCATACATCCTGCAAAGCTTAATTCAAAATAATATTTAGTTGATTCATGAAGTTTAATGCCTATTGCTGTTCTCTATTTTAATAGAAGCACATACAAAAATGTTGTACCTTAGGCTCTAAGATGGGATCAGTTTTATATGTATTATCATCATCCTCATCAGAGTCTGACTGTCCAGCATTGACATCTAGCTTCTCAAATGCATTCTCTATGACATTGATTCCCATACCAACAGCTTCTGAGATTTTGGGAATAATTTCTGCCTCTTTTTCTTCTCTGGTTTTCTCTTTCTCATCTTTCTTTTCATTAACTTCATTGTCTTCTTGATTGACATCTTCATCATATACTCTATTCTCCACAAATTGTGTATTTGCCAGCATGATAAACTCATTGAACACATTGTGTACCTTTAAAGACACAGCCAAAAGCATTAAGCCAGACTTTTCATACAAAACCTAAGGTTACAAAATATGCTGCCTCAGAATCATGTTAACTTTTAGCTTGTTTAAAATGACTATTAGCACTTGGCAAGCCCTTATGTATCATTATTGCAACTGAAAAATAAATATGGATAAGTAATTGAAAAGTGTACCTTTGTTCCCGTGGCTTTTGTTTCATTGACGAGTCCATCAACCTGTTGTTCAATCTCATGTGTGCGAGCGATCATACGCTGGGAGAATTCTTGCAGATATAAAAGTAACTGAAAAACAACAATTTAAAACTGATGTTTATACCAGTCATGGGAAATGCACTTTTTGAAACAGTGAAGAACTGTGACCCTTGATGAAAAATGTTGATCCATGGATAAACTTTTGATTTATACTTAATTCTTAAATTCAAAGTATATCTCATGTCGTACATTTGTAGTTCATATAAAATGACAGTACAAGTAATCAATATTCATAATAAAAAAAAAAAACTACAGTAAAACTGTTTAATCCAGACACCACTGGGAGCAGCCAGTGTTTGGATTAGCAAGTGTTCACATTTAAAATTTTTTAATATGTGGGAGATAAAAAGAAATGAGACCACGAAACAGTGTTCAAATCAAGAGGAGTCCAGATGAGTGAAGGTTTTACTGTACACACCCCTGCATCTCCCGAAAGTGACCAGTTCCCAGCTCCTTTTCTTATTTCCTCAACAGACCATGCTCTTTCCCAAGCTTTCCCTCCATCAGCAGTGGTTGTTGCTGCCTGTGGAGCCTCCACTGGTGCTATTGGTCCATTCATCTGAAAAAAGGATGTAGAATTTTCATACTAAAAGAGGTGCTGGTGCTGTTTTAATGGCAACATTTACTGTTCCTGCATGTGCACTAATCTCAAAACTGGAAATCTAATTGATAAATAAAATCAACCAGGTGGGTATTATCGACCACCTTTCTTATTTGTCTGCTTTCACTTTGTTGTCCTTATTCGACAGACAGCCTTGACAGTTATTGCATCCTACGACCCCCCACAATCAAAAGTGGTCGGGATTCGATAACCGAGACCCTATCTGTTGCAAGACGTACGCCTGGCGTAACCATCAACATGTTATTCAGTGTTTTTAAGTAGCGCAAGGATCCTGCCATGACTGTGGTAGTGTTATGGTGAAAGCCTGGTATAACCGCGACAATGCTGTATTATATTGCAATGCCTGCCATGACCATGACAATATAATCGTGTAAGCCTGGCGCGACCGTAGCCGCTTTATATGACATTTATGAATTATTTCATGTTTTTCCCGTTGCTGTTATTAGTTTTTTATGGATTAACCTTATTAATTGATCATTATAGTAAGTATGTGCTTTTGAATCGAACCTTCTTGAATGAGAGTAGAGATATTGTTGTTCGAAAATTATGAGTTTCGTTGTGAAATTAATATACATTTTTATGTATCAATGAACATGAGTACCATGTACATGTATTGTAGTCTTGATTTACATATTTAAGGTAGTTAAACACGAGGAAAATTGTTATTTAATACAACCACAGTCATGAGAGGCCTTGCAACTATTGTCCATTTTAGGATTTAACCTTACCATGGTCATGACAGGCTTTAACATTGTCATGGTCATGACAGGCTCTGCAATCATTATGACTGTCATATCAGGCTTTAACATTACCACGGTCATGGCACGCCTTGCGAGCATTGTCACGGTTATAAGAGGCTTTAACATTATCACGGTCATGACAGGTCTTGCAACCATTGTCACGGTCATTTCAGGCTTTAACATTACCACGGTCATTACAGGCCTTGGAATATAATACAGCATTGTCACGGTTATACCAGGCTTACACGATAATACTACCACGGTCATGGCAGGATCCTTGCGCTACTTAAAAACACTGAATAACATGGTGACGGTTACGCCAGGCGTAAGTCTTGCAATAGATAGCATGTGCGATAACCTTGACAGTTCATCTTATATGGACCATTGGAAGGGAAAGCATTGATCAAACTATGAAAACTAAAGTGTGGTCGATATTACCTGTCTGGTTGATGTTTGATGGATGCACCTAAAATTTATTGAACTGTCGCTGTGATTTTATTAGCGACAATTGAAGAATTCAAGATTTGTCATTACATTTGCGATTGGAAATGAAATTCAGATGATCTGATAAATCTCAAATCTATTTCACTTCTTTTGGGGTGATGATTTATGAGCAAAATAACTAGACCTGTAGATCTAGATAAGTGGTAAAAAACATTGAAAATAAAATGAAAGTTAGAATTGCAAAACCAGATACTTGCAGATTTTAAGAATCATAACCAACAAAATACAGCAAATGTGGCATCAAATTAATGCTTATTTAATGATCTACATTTAATACTTACAGAACCACCATTTTCTTCCCCCATAGGGGCACTAAACCCATCTAAAGCTGGGGGTGGGCCAGGAGGAGGCGGAGGTGGCGCCATCTTGCCTATGTCATGTGACTTATTTGAATCACCACATAAAAGCTTCACCAATTATTAAATATACGATATAACAGACCATTTGACGACCAGGAAGTTTGACCAATATAATAGGAGTATTCGGAGAAAACATGACAGCTTTTGCTGGATTGTAATTCCTACATTTGAAAGCCAAATTGATCAGAGGCTGCACATTATTCAGTCCGTAAAGAATTTCAAATGGCACCGCGAAAGAAAAAATGTTTCAAATTCTCCACAAATTTGCCTGCAACACGGCTATTAGCGTTATTGATCTTGTTGAATGTGATATTTGTAATAGTATACATATCTCATTTTACGGGTAAGTGACTAAAATACCACCGGAGAGGTGGGGAATCACTTGAAATGCAATTAAAAAAGTTTGTCAGATTTTTTTCTGAAAACAGCAGACAGCACAGGTAGATCTAGAAAGCAACTTACTTTTTCACCCATTGGAATACATGTAAAATTGGCAAAGTTCAAATCATAATTTCTCAAATCCCAGCCCATCGAATCCTCACATCCATTCAGATCATGTAGTCCTATTCAAAAACTTCCCGTTCGGTTATATGGTGAAAAAAATATCCCACGAACGAAAAAAGATTCAATTTTGCAAAGGCCCAAATGCCCTAATACGTCACTTCCGCTGAATAGAAAAAAGTAGTATTCAAAAATAAATGTAGTCCCAACACAATTGTGATCATGACGAGTCAGTAAGCTAGTATGTAGGCACAGTTGTCATCTTTTTGCAATGACAACATGCCATTTCTTCTGAAAATGCGTTTATTTGGGTTATCTGAAGGAAAATTTCGAGTCAAGTGGCGCACTAATTTTGCCTTGATTTTTGTGAATTTCAATTTGTGTCGGCAGAGAGAGGGGGTAGTGTCACAATTGACCAATTATTTCAAAAAGTAGATGGTTGGCCCCTATTGAGTTTTTTGTCAAGATGTAGCTTAGACATAGCTTTAAAACCTCAGATAGGCCAGTGAGGCCACATAAATCCATAACTCGAGATAAAAAGTCAGGCGTTTGCCCTTTTGCCCATTGACTAGTATGGTGACGTGAATTAGGGCAGTTTGGCCTATTAGTCACATGTGAGAGTGACCAAAATTTTTTAAAACTACTCAGAATCGCCCAGAATTGAAGTTTATTAGTACGAAACATATTCTGGACGTAGGCAAAAAGGGGAATTTTCATGAACAAATTTAAAGTTTTTGCTGAATCAGCAGTTTTCGCTTTTTACCCCAAAAACCACTGATTTTGACGATATTTGGCCATAATTTCGTCCTTAATGACCCCAAGATGTCATATGTTGTCGTAAATGGGGAAGCCAATGAGTTGCTGTTCATAATAAAGATTGGATTTTCCATCTTTTGGTTTCTAGTAAAAAATGAAGGAACATATCAGGGGTACAGTCAGAGATTGGTCAGTTAAGTGTCAATTTTTGATGTATTTGTCCACTCTGAATGACCAAATTCGAGCTAAAACTATCTCAAAAGTCCCAATTCTCTAGGCCAGAGTCAAATCTGATCAAATTTGCCATCATTTTTCAAATCAGGAGGTTGTTGAATGAAATAAAATATCAAAAAAATGATAATTTTCGTAAAATTTTGCCTAAGTTGGCCAAATTTGCCCAATTTTCTGGTTCATGGTTCAGTGATTTTGGCTAAAAATCGCAATATGCAATGAAATACTCAATTTCTTGACACGACATTGTAAAATGTCACCATCAGGCAGTAGATTTCATGATGTAAATGAAAAACTAGTCAAATTTAAAGGAAAACCATTGGGTTCTTGGAAAAATGACCCCAGGGGTAATAAAGTAGCCATATTTTTCATAATTGCTGTCAGAATATTCTTAAACTGCACAAAACAACTTGAAAAACTCTAGTAAATTGAAAAAAACGCAATTTCAAGCCAGAAATCATCCAACCATGTTGCTATTAGGCCCAAATGCCCTAATACGTCACTTCCGCTGAATAGAAAAAAGTAGTATTCAAAAATAAATGTAGTCCCAACACAATTGTGATCATGACGAGTCAGTAAGCTAGTATGTAGGCACAGTTGTCATCTTTTTGCAATGACAACATGCCATTTCTTCTGAAAATGCGTTTATTTGGGTTATCTGAAGGAAAATTTCGAGTCAAGTGGCGCACTAATTTTGCCTTGATTTTTGTGAATTTCAATTTGTGTCGGCAGAGAGAGGGGGTAGTGTCACAATTGACCAATTATTTCAAAAAGTAGATGGTTGGCCCCTATTGAGTTTTTTGTCAAGATGTAGCTTAGACATAGCTTTAAAACCTCAGATAGGCCAGTGAGGCCACATAAATCCATAACTCGAGATAAAAAGTCAGGCGTTTGCCCTTTTGCCCATTGACTAGTATGGTGACGTGAATTAGGGCAGTTTGGCCAAAGGGGAGGGACAATTTCTGTAGTCTCTAAACCAAAGCGGGTTTGCTATTGGCTCACGCATGCGCAGACTGTATTTTTCTGAACTTCAATTTCTGACAGCGTGAAACGGTTAGTTTACTACATTTATATGTATTTGGTCACTTTGATGATACTTTATTCGTGACATTTGTAATCGTCCATTATATTTCTTATATATTTCAGTGTGATTTTTTTGGGTATTGCAGTTTCTATGCAGAGATCGTGAAATTTTCCTATTATCGCCCGAAAAATAATATTTTTAGAATAGAATTAGCCTAATAGAAATCTATTTCAATTGAATTATTTGTACATTCCATTTAAAAACGGTACGGCATGGATGCAAAATTATAGGGGAACGGTATGTGACCGGAAAAATGCTGGGGGCGGGATGGTGCATAGTGTGAAAAATTCTAGGGGGGGGGGGTAATCGGGTTGTCTCAGAAAAAAATCTGGGGTAGTGTTGACTATTGGAAGGGTGTATTACATATAAACATTCCTGTTGCGTGACCATTGCATTTATATGCCTTGTACTAGGGGGTGGGGGGGGGTGTCTTATGTATAAAAATTTCTTGGAGGGTCACATGTTGACCATAACATCCTAGGGTGTTTCACTTTTTGACTTTCTTTCCCGATCAACATGGAGTTTTTCCCAGTTGATCTCCTGGTAAAGAAAAGCAAGCACAAAAAGTTTCAGTCAAATCTGTTGACATTAGACCTTACCACATTTTCTGATGCCCATTTATCATAATGTTACAATAGTCTGCAAATTGCAGAAAATGTCATTTTCATCATAATGACGGGGGAGGGGTGTCTTTCGAGTCTGACCCTTGAGTATATTTTTTGAGCCTTACATTTATTTTCTTTTTCTCTCAAGTTCACAAAAATTGTGGCTGTGTTCACTTTGCTTGTTGAGTCAATTCAGGTAGAGATTACTGGATTAGGTTTACTCGAATATCTATTTTATACAATTGCAGAACAGTATTAGAATAAAACACAGGGATTCATGTTTAGCATAAGGTAACAAAGGACGGACATGGTATTTCAGTATAATTTGACTTTCTATTCTATTTATTCCTATTTGAGTCTCATTCTAAAGTGATTCGCCACTTCACAATGACTGAAGAGCTTCATACTCAAAGGTCTTTGAAATGCTGGTTGTTTATTGCAGCCATTGCTAGTGTTGTTGCGATTAATCGATATAGCATTATGTACATCACGAAGTTGAAGAAGTATTACATATTTGTTGCTTTCATAGTTCTAGTGCATTTGTGTTTTGAATTTTAGTAGATTTTTTCTTAAACTTTCGCTCAATGTACATTGTGATATTCATCGATCTTAACTTCTGAAAAATTGCATATATTTCGATGCACAATTATGGCTCATCATTACAACACTAGAACTTTCTTCTATTTAACCAATAGGATAACATAAAATATATAAATATTTGAGAGGTAAAATTGTTTATTGTATGTATGTATAGGTTTATTGCCCTAATATAATTTAATTAGGAGATACATATTATTTATATGCAATTACAACAAATATAATAAAATTAACATATGGACAGACAACCTATTTACAAGATGTTTGTATATACAGTAGAACCTGCTAAGTGGAACATCTCCATAAGTGGAACACCTTGCAAGTGGAACACTTTTTCAAAGTCCCGTTTTAAAAATCCATTGACTAAATGTTAATTGAACCTCTGTAAGTGGAACACCTCCAAACTTGAACAGTGAACACCCATTATTAAAAAATTAACCTGCTCAGTTGAACAGTCAATTTCCATAAATTTCAATATTGATACTTATGTAAACAGAATTAACCTCCTATAGTGATATCTGGGTATGAAAACAGGTAATAACGTGATAATTGGCAAATTAGGTTTTTTAATGGATTACCATTCAACAAATTGGATTAACCTCCTGTAGAGGTCAACGCATAATGCAACCGCTAATTAATTTGATAATCAGCAAATTAGGATTTCATAAGATCATCCTTCAGAAAATTGGATTAACCTCCTGTAGAGATGGACATGTGATGCTACCACTAATTTATACCCCTTGCTGTTTGTTTCAAACTTGATAAGTAAGATTAAGAATGTCAGTTAAAAAACAATTGTTACATTGATTTTCTACATTCCACAGGTAGAATATGCGATAAACACATATCTCTTTATAAGCATTTGTAAACGGAAGCTTTAGTATGCTCCAAAGAAATGTCAGGCTTAAAAAATCTATGTACAGATCGACAACATATTATTTTATCATATAAAGCACAGCTAATTGTTCATGTTGATTATATACAACACACAATACAGTAAAACATAAGTAAGAGAACAATAGTCCCATGTGAATGTAAAATTACATTGATCACATGTTATCATCATTGTCAGTGTCATCATCACTGTCTGCCACTTGAAGTTTGGTCTTCAACCGTTTGGCACCATCATCATCTGGTCTTCTACAAGCATTAAATATCAAATGCAGTAACAACATGAACAATGATGTCTGCTATTTATCAAAACATGTTTTTTCAGCTGGATTTGTTACTCCTGGTGTTGCTGTGTTCGATACAAATAAAAATACGTCCAGTAAAAGAAAATACATATTTTATATCAGCCCAGAACAAGAATCTACTTGCAACTATTCATGTTATCAATTTACTAGGGGTCATTGTTAAGGAAACATACTTACACAAAAGTCTGAGGAGCCTTTTTTCTTCCAAGTTGTTGTTTTGTTTTTGTAAATGATGGTCGCCATTGTCTTTGGTTCCTTTGATTAGGGGCAATTTTCTGTGTTTTTATCAAAGGATCTACCTGCAAATAATGATTCATAATAAAATGGTTATTGTATACAATATGTCTACTGCTATGTTCATATGTCACATTTT